TTGTCCAGCAGGCTGAGGCAAAGAGGCAGTCCCAAAACCAGCCAAATCAGGGAGCTGGACAGGGGACAGATTGTATTTGTCTTCAGTGTGGAAGGGATTGTTACTCTCGAATTGGCCTTCTCAGCCACACTAGACGCTGTTCCAAGACCTCTATTCAGAGCACGTTACCATAGTCTCTTGAGACTGAAGAATGCCTACTAACTCCACTTTTCCCAGCATTATTGTCTTTTCCAGAGAACCCTGCTTTACCATGATATGCCCAAAGTAGGGCAGCCTGAGTGTCACACTTTTTGCCTTCAGACATAGTTCAGGCTTGATTCGATATGGGATCCACCAGTTCATCTTTCTAGCATTCCAGGGTATCCGCAAAGCTCTCCTCCAGCACCGCATTTCAAACAAATCAGTAGTAAAAATAAAAGCAGAAATGTTTGACACATTAAAGACTAACAAGTTGATTTTGGTATGAGCTTTTATTAATTATCATTCCCTTCCTAAAAATAGGAAATGTGATAGTTAGGCCCCATGGTGCAGGGCAGCAATGAAGTGAAATCAGGAAAATAGCATGAGCTGTAATGGGCTTTTATAACCATAATGGCCTAGTAATTATCAATGAAATGCTGATTACAGAGAGGTCCTTTTATCAACTATTAAATGAGGTAGAGTTATGGCAAGAAGAGCTTTTTAGTTATATCAAAGACCGAGGAAAAATCCCAAGTATTAGTAGATATAGTGTGCTAAGAATACAGTGGTGCCCTGCATAGCAATGATAATCCATTCCAAAAAAATTGTCGCTACACGGATTCGCCGCTATGCAGGGCAAAAAAGCCCATAGGAACGCATTGAAACCCCTTCAATGCTTTCCTATGGGCAAAAAACTCACCGTTCTGCAGAAATCCTCCATGCGGCCGCCATTTTTGGTGCCCGGTAAGCATGTAAAGGGCACAAAAACACTGCGGGCGGCAATTTTTCCCGGCTGGAAACTGGAACTTGGAACTGCTGATCAGCTGTTTTAAAAACATTGTTATGCAATAATCGATAAGCGAAACACTTACCGATCATCGTTTCGCGATTTTTTGCCATTGAAAACATCGTTATGCGATCGCTTTTGCGATCGCAAAAACCTCATTGCTATGTGGATTCGTCGTTAAACGAATTGCTCGCACCACTGTATTTCATCTTTAGTTAGACCCTTTGAGGTACTCTGGAATCTGTGAATGCTGTTCACTTTAGCTGTCTCATTTTCAAATCTTCCTTTGCAACTCCTTTTCTCATCTGTAATGGTGCTCTGGGGAGTTGAATTGCTCTGAAACTATTTGTTGCATATGACCATTCTTGACATCCGACTTGTGTCCATTTATTCTCCTGTAAATACCCTAGGCAGAGTACAGAGGGGCACAGCTGGAAAAAGATAGCACGAGGTCACATTGGGAGAGGTACAGTACAAGTAAAATGAGTCCCTGGTCTTGTGGCATGCCAAGTTGATATAGTGTGGCATACCAAGTTGAGGTTGTTGTGATTTGGGCACAACCAGAACTTTAAATACAATGGTACATTTAAAACATTTGTGGTAAAACTACTACCTATGATGTATTTTTGATGCAGGAAAGACACTTGGACGAGGTGCCTATGGAAAAGTAGTACAAGCAATTGCTTTTGGAATCAAAAAATCTACCACTCACCAAGTAGTTGCTGTCAAAATGCTGAAAGGTAAGACCCTGAAGAAACCTATTCTTCCTTCACACTGTTCAAAGGGTTCGGGCACTGATTTTTGTCTGTTTTATACAGTATTTGTAGGAAGGCTGAATATGCACGATCAGATAACTTGGACTGCATTTGTGCACTGGTACAAAGCATAGGTTTTCAAAGCAGTTCAGATATTAGATAAATTAATTACTGTAGTCCCTCCTGTCTGTTGATGCAAGTCTGTAAAAGCTTATTGAGGGGGAGAAAAAAAAACACGATCCTACAAAAGTCTATACAGGCAGGGTTAAGATCTACAGGCAGGGCTCAGTTCTGGAGCTAGAAGTCCAAACAGTCCAGTGGGTATCTCTGGCTATCCAGAAAAATCACATCATTTTAAATATATATAAAATTTTCTTTATAACGGTAGGGTAAGGTAAGGGGCAGCTGGGATAGGGGTACCCTTGGAGGGAGTGGATTTGAATGGATACATTACAAATCAATATTTTTCATAGTAACTCTATACATTCTCTTCTAGTAATAGTTCCACATAGCAGAAAGAAATATAAACAGTGAGCGAAAGGGAAAAATCAAATTCAGGCAGATATATTGTTATTGTAATTATTGATTATGTAGCTGATAGTCTTTATCCATCATTTATTCTGTCTCTTCTGCAACCATACAGATAACTACGTATCAGTCAACTGTTCTATCTACCTTGTAACCATGTATATAATTTTCTGATGGTCTTTTTTTCTTTTTTGCATCTAGCCAATCTGATAGTATGTCCATTTCTGTGGTTTCAAGGATTTTATCTATCACTTCATCTATCTGCAGTGTTCTAGATTCCTTCCATTGTTTCGCAAACACTGTTCTTGCTGCTGTTATAATACGAATAGTTAAATATGATTTTTCGCAGTCTAGTATCTGGCAAGATATTTAATAGGAATATTTCTGGTACCATCGGTATTGAAGTTTCTAATATCTCTTGTAACATTTGATTCACTTTACTCCAGTATCTTTGGCCGTATTTGAACATCCACCACATCTGATAAAATGTTCCTTCTTTCTGCTTACATTTCCAACATATATTTGAACTCTGGGTGCTTATTTTAGCCAGTGTTGTGTGTGTGGGGGGTGTCCTGTAGAACATTTTGTATATATTCTCTTTAAATACAACATATTTAGTTAATTTTATATTTGTTTTCCAAATTCGTTCCCATTGATTCAGTTCAATGTTATGTCCGATATTCGGTGCCCAGTTCATCATACATGCCTTTACCACTTCATATTGTGTTTCAGAATCTAATAGAAAATTATATAATAACTTAATGCATTTTCCCTCTGATTCTAGAAGAATTCTGTCAAAGGAGGTATTTTCTAAGTAAAAGCCCTGTTGATTATCTTTAGCAAACCTTGATAATAATTGTGATCGTGCCCACCAATCCATTTCGATGCCTTGATCTACTAACTCTTGTTGAGTTTTGATAGAACCATCAAGATTTCCTGTTGTTGTTTTGATAGTTTAATGTTATTTTTCATTTGGATGTACTCGTTCTGCTTCATGGGTGGCGTGCATTCTTCTGTACTGTATACAGTGGTGCCTCGCACAGCGAGGTTAATCCGTTCCGGATTAACCCTCGCTGTGTGAAAGCATCGTTGAACGGAACGTAAAATGCCATTGGAACGCATTAAACATGGTTTAATGCGTTCCAATTCGGCCGAATACTCTCCGTTCAGCGATGCTTCTTAATGGCCGGCAGCCATTTTCGCGCCCTCCCCTGGCTTAATGAGGGGGCGAAAACACTGCGCGCGGCCATTTTGGGGCTTCCAGCAGCCATTTTGTAGCCACAGAACAGCTGATCGGCGGGTCGCTCTGCGATTTCCCCCTATCTAGGCACCGTTTTGCGATCGCATTTGCGATTGCAAAAACGGCATCGTTGCGCGGATTTGTCGCTCTACGGAGCGACCGTTGTGCGAGGCACCACTGTATAACTTTGTATAGAATTCTCCACAATTTCTCAGAAAAATAAATCACATCCTGGTTGATTTTAATGACCAACTTGCAGAAGCAATGTTGCCTATTTGTGTGGCCTGTATGGGACAATAAAACCTAGCGAGGGAAAGTGGTGTCTGTTGAACAAATGGTATCACACTGGACATAGAAAAATGAGGGAGAGAAAAAGGAATTTGCCCTTCTAAAGATGATACATAGGAATAACTTTCCTTGTTTTAAATGAAAAGTGGCCTTTTTTGCCAGGCAAAGTTAGCAGTAATAGTACTGAAGACCCTGCAAAAACAGCTGAGGCGGGGATTACATATGGCCATGGCACAGTGCACTCAACAAACATCAACCCACTGAGTTCAGTGCTATGCCTCTTCCATTCAGCACCCAGGGCAATAGTCCAATTCCCTCACCTCTAAGGCCCACCATGTCTAAAACCCAGAGTAGTTTGTACTTCGAGGCAGAGACGATCTAAAGACAGGGGAAGAGAATTTCCAAGACACAGAATAATTATGTTGCACACATCAGGATAGAGTGATTTTAACGATTCAAATGAACAACATGGAGAGCAATAGGTTCTGAGCAAAGTAACAGGCAAAGGATCCAGCAGCCAGGGATGTGTAGAGCAGACAGATCTAAACTGGAGAGTACATTCAGCAGTCCATTCAACTGATGCTAAAGGAGTCTGCAAAAGTAGCAGACTGCCACTCTAATAATTTCTCTCCACCTTGCAGAAGGGGCCACTGCCAGTGAGTATAAAGCACTAATGACGGAGCTGAAGATCTTGACACATATTGGTCATCATCTCAATGTTGTGAATTTGCTGGGAGCTTGCACAAAGAGTGGAGGTATAACACATAGACACCAATACTCTAGGATCTCTTACTTGCTTTTTCATGTATGTATGTATGTATGTATGTATGTATGTATCTATGTATGTATGTATGCATGCATGCATGCATGCATGCATGCATTTGTGTAAATTGATTTGTGACAGCCTGGAAGATAGTTTTTACTGTTAAGATCAGCTATACTTTACCCTTATAACTCTGAGAGATTCTTTAAATTGCTGGTACATTAATATCTATTTTAATACTGCAGATATCAATTGTGTAAATTGATTTGTGATAGCCTGGAAGATAGTTTTTACTGCTAAGATCAGCTGTACTTTATCCTTATAACTCTGAGAGATTCTTTAAATTGCAGGTACATTAATATCTATTTTAATACTGCAGATATTAATATACTGTTGAAAAATAGGCTTGAATCAAATCCAAATGAAATCACACTTTGGTAACAGTAGATGTGAAAGCAAAGAACAAACAAGTGCTAGGAATGGAATTTCAGTGAAAATAATATTACCGTATTTGCCAGCATATAAGACGATTTTTTGCCCTGAAAAACATGCCTCCAAGTGGGGTGGTCATCTTATACGCTGGGTGGACTTCAGTTGGGCCAAGAGGGTAGCGGGCAGACTTTCTTGAAGGAGCCGCCGCCGCCGTTGAGTGAGTAACACGGGGCTGCGCCGGCTGGGGAGAAGGGCAGGAGGGCAGGCGGGCAGGTGGTCGGTCCGGATGGAGGGAGGGTGGGTGGACTTCAGTTGGGCCAGGAGGGTGGCGGGCAGACTTTCTTGAAGGAGCCGCCGCCGCCGTTGAGTGAGTGACGCAGGGCTGCGCCGGCTGGGGAGGAGGGCAGGAGGGCAGGCAGGCAGGTGGTCGGTCCAGATGGAGGGAGGGAAGCAGAGCCGGCCATTCCTGAGCGGCCAGAGCCTGCTGCTGGGCTGCCCGCTGCCCCGTGCCACTGAGCCAGCTGCCCGCTCACCCACCCACCGCCAGAGAGCTGCTTCCCCTCCTCCTCCTCCTCCTCCTCTGCTGCCACTGCCCACCCGGCTGCTTCCCCTCCTCCTCGCCATCCTGGGGCCTTGTCGCCGGCCATGAACTTCCAGGGCGGGCCCAGGCAGAGCCCCGGGCTGCCAGCACCGGCACCGCAGCAGAGCCTGGCTGCCCCGGGGGTCCTGTCGGGGCCGTTGCTGGGCAGGGTGCCGCAGCCGCATTTTGGCCTCTCCAACTCGGCAGCCATCTGGGCCGAGATCGGGTGCTTCGAATCGGTGCACCCCAACATCTACGCCATCTACAAGATCGGGTGCTTCGAGTCGGTGCACCCGAACATCTACGCCATCTACGATTCTGAGTTGAGTGGAAATGTTGGGAGGTCTTCTTATACACCCAATTTAAAATAAAATATATTTTAGTCACCAGTGCTGTTATTTTCAAATGTATGTAATTAAAAGGCACAGTATTCCACCTTTTTTCACCATAATGTTACCTTATTTATAGGACCACTAATGGTGATTGTTGAATATTGCAAATATGGAAATTTATCAAGCTACTTGAAGAGTAAAAGGGAATTTTTTTCCATAAATAAGGTAAAGTTCCAAATATCCCATTTTATTTTTGCAACCTGTTGAAATGCATCATGTGTGTTTTGCACCACTGCTATGAAAGAAAAAATAGTGAATGGAGGCAAAAAGGCCCTTTTAACATGCAAAATCCCTGATGTGAGTACAAAAAATGTTAAATCAACCACAGATGAAACTGAGTAAACAAGAATGCCATAAAGCCAAGAAACCAATCAATTGAGAAATACATTGCAGCAGTAATTATTCACTTAAACATACCCCATGAAACAGGTGGGGTCTTAATATGTTGTCAGAAAAGTCATTAAAGCGGGTAAAGGTATACCTCTTGAGGGGAAAAACATTTCAAAATTGAGAGTACAACTTCAAAATGGCGTATCTTGTGTCACCACCAAATGATGGAATAGTCAGGCCTGTCGGTCCCTGTTCCCAAGCTGATGGGGGAGAAAAAATTAAGCTTTTCAAAATAGATTTAAGTTGGACTCAGATTTCATCACACTTAGAGCAGACCCTCTGAGGTCAGGGAGACTTAGATTAGCCATGAGTAAGTCTGGATCCAATCCATCCTTAGCTTTCCTACCGAAATCGACAGGATTCAAATGTGCTTAACTCTCACTGAGTCCTCCCACTGAAACACCTTCTATTCCATTTTGGGTTGCTCTGCCAATATTTTCCCTCTCTGTTTGTTTAAAGGAGGCATCTGTTCAAGAAGAGCTGATGACAGAAGAGAAAGATGTCCAACCAATCAGCGGTAGGAAGCAAAGGCTAGAGAGTGTCCCAAGTCGAGAGAGCTTAGCAAGCTCAGGGTTTGAGGAAGATAAAAGTTTAAGTGATGTGGAAGAGGAAGAGGAGGGTACGTATTAATTCCTTCCTCTTTCTATGCATTCTGAATTATTTTTACAGCCATGCTCTGCATCTTTGACATTTTCTTTCCTGATTTATCACTGCCGCAAACATCCGTTGGAGATACTGAGATCCAAGAAAAGATGGTTTAAAATAAGTTTATTTACAGCATTACTCAGCCTTACAGGAAGATATGTGACTTTGTCTGTGGTCTGTTCCTTAGGGAATAGTGCTCAGTGCATCACAAGAATTGTTGTTCTTTTTGTTCCCTCTAGGACAAATTGAACTTCAAATGATCTATTGACACTAATAGGAGCAACACAAAGTCATTTTATTCTTGCTTGTGCTTAATTGATTTTAGATTCTGATGATTTCTACAAATGGCCCCTCACCATGGAAGACCTCATCTCTTACAGTTTTCAGGTGGCCAGGGGCATGGAGTTCCTGTCATCTCAAAAGGTTAGTTTTACTTCTAGAGTCAGTATTTTCCAGACTATATTAGAAGAACGAGGAAAAGACAAAAAAAGAGAAGGGAGGAAGGAATGAAGCTGCAACAGTTTTCCTGTTGCGATCCTACATATAAATATGCATTTATTCATGTTGTCTTCATAAGAAAGGACTACAGACAAAAAAATGTGAAGATGAAGGCTTTGCTCTTCTATAGCAACGAAGGGTATATTCTGATGAAGGCAGATTCACTATGACCATGAGCTTTGCAGTGTGATACTTCCTTGTTTTGTTCTATTGGAAGCTGGATGTCATCATGGCTATTCTGATTTTGAATGCAACAACTCTAAACAGTGACATTGTGTTCCATCCACACAGCCTCCGTTATGCGATGTTGATGAACACATGATGATATGTTCATTCATATAATCTGAGAGCATGTATACTAGCAGTTGTCTGAATCTGCCTTAATGTGCCTTGTGGTTCAGGCTATCTGTGTATAGCTGAACACCTATGCAATGGCAGCTCTCTTTCTACCTTCAAAGCCACTTCTCTTTTAAGTCTTTGGCGCATTGTTCCATAACCTATAGCAACATAGGCCTCTCACATGAAACAAGGATTCTGCTCCTCTCACTTAATTGTGAAGAATCACAGCATCTGCATCCAAATGTCTGTTCAAAAATCCACATATCTTTAAGAAAAAATGCTTCTCTGCTTAGAAACCTTTGTTTTATTGAAATCTTTTGAAAAAAATATTTAAAAAGTACAGTTCTCTTTTGACACTTTTCTGCTAGAGCTCTTTAATTTCATTTTCCTTGGTCATAATTGAAAACTGCCAACTAGGAAGTTCTCACTGGAGATCAGCTTCAAATGAAAAGTGCTAGAGGGCTAAACTCTATCTTTGTCAGTACGAAGCAATGCTAGAAAGAAGCAATGTTTGCCAGAGGAACAGAAAAGAACTTCAAATCAGAAGAAAAGTCACTGCACTAAGTGAAGCAAGAACAATGTAGTATGAATGGTAGGGAAAATACTGATAGCATCAGTCCAGAACCCATTATATTAAAGGAGAACAAATACTCCATCTGGAAAAGCCTTTAGCTTAGGTATATGTAACTGAAGTAAATAGCTATTCTTTCTCTATTTTATTCATTCCAGCGTTTCCATTGAATTTTAGATTGTAAATTGCTCAGAAAAGGAACCCATCCCCTGGTATTTTGTAGAACGTCTTGTGTACTGGTGGCACCATGCTTAAATTTCATTATATATGTAAAACATTTAACATCCTTTCCCAGTCAGAAGTAGGCTTCTAGTTTAGCTTGCAAAGATCAAGCGGTAAGACATACAAACACAATAGGCACAAAGAGAATTTTTATGAAGATACTATCCATAAGTGGTTTATCTGTGGGGAATCACCGCTGCCTGATCCATAATAGTTACAGGAAGAATGTAGTGTATTGGGCTCACCAAGACGAGCACAACTCAGCTGGGGTGCATCAGGGACAGCCAGAATTTTAGAGTGTTGGATTATAATTCAGGGTTCAAATCTTCACTCACCCATGAAATCTCAATCACAATCTCTCAGACCGACCTACCTTACAGGAGTGCTATAAGGAGAGTGCTGTGTTGAGCTTCCTGGAGGAAAGGCAGACTATAAATGCAACTAATAATAAATTAATTGATCGGGAGAGTTCACAACTGAATAAGTCACTATTCAAATTGTTGCGACACTCACAATGCTTCATGGTTTCTGGTGAAAGCTTCTCCTGTCAAGTCTTCTCTTTTCATTTCCAACCAAAGAACTCTTAACAATCAGCCCCATACTGTTGGCTTATGATTTCCAACAACTCTATATTTGGCCTTTTCAGGCAACCAGCAAATCCACCCAGGGGTAAATCTACTATGAAACTAATGAAACTTGAGCTTCAGGGCCCTGTTTCTGGAGGGGCCCAGAAGGGACTGAACAAATTTACAGTGCAGTGGTATTCAAGTCTACTGAGAAGCAGGTTGCAGTCCTATATGTACATGTTTATGAGTATATCCCACTGAATTCAGTGGGGGTTACCTGAGAGTAGACAATAAGATTGCTATAAAAAGCTGTTTATGCTCTGTTTCTGAAAATAACATTTTTAAAAGGTAAACATTCGCAACTTCTCCTAAGGAAAATGCAAAAAGCAGCTTTTCAGAATACACTTTTTTCAGAAAGAATGTTAATGAGTTTTAGGGGACTACTATGAGATTGTGAAACTGTATTTTCCCCCCATAGTGCATCCATCGTGACTTAGCAGCCAGAAATGTCCTTTTATCTGAAAACAATGTTGTGAAGATCTGTGATTTTGGCCTTGCAAGAGATATTTATAAGAATCCTGATTATGTGAGAAAAGGCGATGTAAGTCAGCTTGCTGCTTTTTATTTGTCCCGTTTATCATTTCAAACATCTCATGTTCAAAATGTTTACATTCTCTGCACTTAAAAGGACCCTGAAAGTGATTGTACATTTTTTAAATGTGAAGATGAGCAATCCAGATGAGTTGTATATACTGGGACTTCTTGCATCCTCCACAACAATGCCTGGAAATGCTCACTAGCTCTGCTTTTTGAATAGTTTAGATGTTGATATTTGTTTCTTGGCTAACCTCACTGTACAAATCAGTGAAAGGCTTAAAGAAAGAGAGAGAGAGAGAAAGAGAGAGAGAGAGAGAGAGAGAGAAATAAACTCCCAGACATATGCTTTTCTACACTGAGGCTGAAGTAAAGCTGAACTGCAGCTATTGCTCATCTTATATTTAGCTCCAGAATCTGTTGGTTCACCAGAAGAACCTTTTAGTTGGCAGGTGTAATCCAAAAAAGTAATTTTGCCCATCTCTGCCTTCTGCAAACTTGGAGCTGGAAAGATGAGCAGGATTGGTCCCATCATTCATGATAGGCTACCAGGCACAGCACAACTTTAGTGGCTGTTCCCTTCCACTCCCAGAGAGGCCGAGGCTCTTGCCATGCTCACCAGGAGCCACTGAATATGTGCCTTGGCTAGCAGAATTGGAAAGTTGTGCCGGCACCCCTTTGGCTTCCATTAACTTCTGATGTTGTCAAGGGAAGTTAACACACGTTCTGTGCATGCAGTATCAGGATGTCCACATCACTAGGACAATCTGAGAAGCCGCATAAATTTAGGAATTGCCCCACAGATATACCATCTAAATTAGGGATGGCTGAACTTGTGGCCCTCCAGATGAAGGGGGACAACAGGACCAATGTTGAGGGATAATGGGAGGTAGAGCTTGGCAACAGTTTTAGTTGAGCTTCTGAAGTGAAATGTTCATCATGTGAGGTGATCCGTCCCAAGTACGTTTATACAGGGGCCAGAGGAGAGAGAGGCAGGATCTCCCCTAGATGCTCACCCCCAAATCCAGCAAGTCCACATTGGCCTGGGTCCAAAAAATGAAAAAGAAGGAAAACAACTGCTTGTGCTGTTTGACAAACATTCGTGCAAGAATTTGCACAAATGGTGTAAAATGTAGTTTGTACAGAGGTTTTGTGCAAACAGAAGCACAATGGCTTTTCTTAGTGTCACTTCATTTGCACAACTTTCTAACTCTTTCCTGAGCACAAGAAGACCTTTTGTGCCTGGAAGGATACCAGGTCCATCCCATTGTGTTTCGGTCCATCCATTATATTTTATTCTAGTGGAACGAATGACTGTTGCAATTGTTTGAGGGCTGCAGACTTATTATTTCAAAGATGTAATTTTAGTTAATTTTTGTTACAGGCACGCCTCCCCCTCAAATGGATGGCACCAGAATCAATATTTGATAAAATCTATAGTACCAAAAGTGATGTTTGGTCATATGGTGTGTTGTTATGGGAAATATTTTCTCTTGGTAAGTTTTTTGTAATCAATCTACACTAACTTTGAAAACAACATAAGTAGGACAAAGGACTCAATAAATGTATGAACAGAGCAATCCTACTTTCATCTACTGTGCAAGGTCCATAGAATTCAATAAATAACTGAGTATGACTTTCTGTTAGGCAAAGTTATTCTCTTGAGAATAAACATCTTATATTAGCTGGAATTCTGTTCTGTAGCATAGTAAGTTCAACTAAAGTAAGCCCATAGAATTGTTTGGGATCTGGTGGGTCAACTCTGTTGTACTGTAAGTTGTGCTGATTCAAATGGACCTGCTCTAATTGCTAGCTTCTGTGCTAAAGTAAGTTGCAATTAAAGCAGGAACAATGGAATTTCCAGAAGAGTGGACTCACCAAACCCCACTGATTTTAGTCACTGGAATTCTAGACATTTACTCCTACACTCAGAAGTGGGTTGAACAAAGATCAGAAGCTCTAACAGATAAATGAGGAGAATATTTCACTGTTACTCTCATTAGTAGTTTCAGACTAGAAATTATATATGGAGGGCGAACTAACATTACTTTTGGATTATTTGCTTATGTTCTATTAGTGCCTTCAAATTCACTAGTGTGGTTTAACAAACAAGAGTTCCTACTCAGGACTTCATGACTGTGTATTTGCAAGAACCTCAGCAGCCAACAAATCAAATTATATCCAGTGCTATTGTATGTTATATATGCTGTGTATCAACTTCAGCTTCTCAGCAGCCAACAAACACAATCAAATTATATCCAGTGCTATTGTGTTATATATGCTGTGTATCAACTTCAGCTGTATTTTAAAGTTTGACCCTGTGTAAAATAGCATGTTTAGCAACACTTTCCTCTTCCTCGTATGAATCTTTCCTGTTTCCCTTGAGAACAACTTGTGTATGGAGGAAAAAAATAGCTCACGTTCAAGTTAATAAGAGCAGCAAAAGTACACCCCAGCAGCATCTTCAAAGACATTAATATTCTCTACACTGGGATGACAGACAAATCCTTGTTCTGTGCATTGGGTGGTTGGTTAGTCATTGGTATGGGAGACAACAACAGCCAGCCACAATTGCCTTGGGAGCACACGGTGTCAAGCCGTTGCCATTCCCAGAGTTGCTTCCTCTTTGGAGTGATCAACAGACTCACAGGAAAATACCAGAACATCTCAGGCTGATGACATCCAAGATGAAAATGCTGAGCAAGGCACTAAAAAACTCGAAGGAGACAAAAAAGAAGGAAAATGCAGGATACAAAACCCATCCTGCAAAGGAAACAACAATTTCATTCATCAAAGAAGAATGGTAGGAGCGACAGACACAACAGCAGAGGAAATCAGCCCATGCATGCAGTTCCTTAGACAAACAATCTTTTGGTCATCTAGTATATGTTCCTAGGGCAGTTCTTGACTTGGAATTAACTCTTAAAGGTCTGGAAAAGGACAGCTGCTTCACCTTTTAATATTTCTGTACTTAAGGTCAAGAAAAACAGATAGAAAAGAAGTGGTTGCTTACCTTGAAGCGATACCTGTTGAATTCAATGGGGTTTATTTCTGTGTGAACATATATTTCACTAGAACCCATCTCTGCATCTAGTCTGCTTTATTGATGAGAAAGCATGATAAAAAGGATTGAGACTCTGAGGACAATGGGACTGAGGGCTGACTTTTGCCATGTATTCTCTAGAGTGGGCTCAATGTGTGAGCAGGATTTATTTATTTATTTATTTGACTTATATACCGCCCATCTAGAACAAGTGAGATTCTATGTGTAGAATTCATTATCTATCATACAAAAGAGAATAAAAAAAAATTAGGACGAGAAATCTCATGATAGTGCTAAACTGGACAGAAAGCCTAAAAAATGGTGCAACTATTTTGAACTGCTACTATACTGGAAACAGCTAGCCAGAATCCTCTTAGTTATTTATGCCAGCATTTAAGTCCAGTGGTGTAAATTGCAGTGGCAATTGCAAGCAGTTAATGAATTGCTGCTTGCATTCTTTCTCATATACCAAGTCATATGACTGATGCACAATGAGCGATACCAGTGGCATCATGGTAACTAGTAGCAATTTGCTGCTGTGATTTTATACCATTGCACTTATTCTGGCAAAAATATCCAATAGAGTTCAGGCTGTTTCGTTTTCCTTTGTCATCACCTCTGGCCCAAATATTTTATATTCTTCTCTTTTAGGGGCTTCCCCTTACCCAGGTGTGCAAATCGATGAAGACTTCTTCAGCAAGATAAAAGAAGGTGTAAGAATGAAAAACCCAGATTTTGCCACTCCAGAAATGTAAGAATGCCACTGTAGTTATATAAGAACAATTTGAATATCCAGCTTGGTGTTGTACTTAAAGGTAGAAATCTTCTTCCATGCAAAAGGCTGGCCTAGAGAAATGTCTTGAGAATGGAATGGGAACAGCTGGCATAGCCAGAATAGTTGAGGCAAGGCCCAAAGGGTATATACCCACCCTGGTCTTTCACATTCCATTAACACAGACAAACACATAACTATGCGCATCCAGGGTGGCTGTGTTTCCTACTTTGCAGAAAGCAGATCTGTCTTTGAATTTATTCCTGCAGTTGAAAGGCTGTCTAATCCAAGCACAGTTCAAAGAATAATAGGAAAGGGAAGAGAGGCAGAACAGAAGGGGTGTGTGCCAGAGAGTCAGAGACAGCTGATAGTTGTGGAATGGCTCTGACATCACCCATTACCGGTGTTATGAGAGATTCCACATCATTCCTGTTGAAAGGGTGTATGTGCTACTTTGGGGCTGCTGTTTGTGCACAGAAGGACAGCAGAGACGGGGCTCGGGGTGGAGAGAGTGATTGAATGAGTGGATAGAGCTGGAGGTTAGCCTTACTATTCATCTGAATAAATGTAATTTTGGGTTCGCAAATCTCATTTTGAGGTACTGAGCCTGTGCCTAAAGGACTTTGCCAGCTTAAAAAAATGCAAAACATGGTTTATTTCTTTGTTTCTTAAAACAAATCTTTGCTTTTACGTTGCTGTGTTATGTTCCATCAAGTTGGAACTGACTTATAGCAACCTTAACAGGGCTTTCAAGATAAGTGAGACATTTAAGGAGTGGTTTTTGCCAATTCCTCTCCCCCAGTGAGTTTCCATGGCTGAGCAGTGATTCAAACCCAGGCCTCCTGAATCTTAGTCCATCACTTTATCCACTACATCACATTGGGTATCACTGCTGTTATATCTCCCTGGAATTAGTTATAACATCAAAGATGCCATAGTTGAATTGAAGAGGAAGACTGCAGTGCAGACAAAAACCCAGTGGCCCATGAAACTTAAATTGAGAAGACAGCTCTAGGATGAATTCTCCTTCATACTGTTTAAGACATAAGCCCCCAGATCCAGCTCTGGAAATTCCAACAGACATTGTCCAAAAACGTCTCATCTGATCTTGACTGCCAACTTCTTTGTTTCTTAAAACAAATCTTTGCTTTTACGTTGCTGTGTTATGTTCCATCAAGTTGGAACTGACTTATAGCAACCTTAACAGGGCTTTCAAGATAAGTGAGACATTTAAGGAGTGGTTTTTACCAATTCCTCTCCCCCAGTGAGTTTCCATGGCTGAGCAGTGATTCAAACCCAGGCCTCCTGAATCTTAGTCCATCACTTTATCCACTACATCACATTGGGTATCACTGCTGTTATATCTCCCTGGAATTAGTTATAATATCAAAGATGCCATAGTTGAATTGAAGAGGAAGACTGCAGTGCAGACAAAAGCCCAGTGGCCCATGAAGCTTAAATGGAGAAGGCAGCTCTAGGATGAATTCTCCTTCATACTGTTTAAGACATAAGCCCCCAGATCCAGCTCTGGAAATTCCAACAGACATTGTCCAAAAACGTCTCATCTGATCTTGACTGCCATAAAGGGGCCTGTGGGAAGAGAAAACTCGGTATCTTAAAAGATATGAAGCAAAGAATCACCGGTCTGCCATCTTCAGCAAATGCAAATCCCTGCGAGGATTTATAGATAGCTTTATAATGCTGAAACTATTGAGTCTCAGTCTCTGGTCTGGGCAGGAGCTGTAGCAAAAGGGTGAACATAACCAAGGAGAAGGTTCCAGTGGAGATCATCAAAGGTTGTCAGTAACTGCAATGAAGAGATCTGTAAGGACTAGGAGAGGTTGAAGAAGCTCCGACCTTTAACCTTTAGCAGAATACACTGGGGCTGAGTTCTGATTGCTATTATCCGCATGCAAGCTTAATGGGAGCAGTGCTTGGAGGAGAAGAGATAATGGACTTTATACGAGAGATAGGAAAGGTTTTAGAGGTTAAGGCAGCAGGGATCTTTCTAGCCCACTGGTTAGTCAGTCGGATGGATAATTAAGTCATAAAGCACTGTGAGGGGCTTTAGTGAAGATTAGTAAAGATTTGTCCATGATTTATATATATAGCAAGTAAGAGAACTGAAAGGAAAAAGCTTTCAACACAACTTCTACATATTTAACTTACATGAACAGCAAAATGTCTTCCAGCACCTCAAGGCTGGAGACATTTTTCTGACAATAGCTTTGGTGGATTCTTGACCCCTTCAACAGGTGCATGGAGAGAAGACTTGAATAGACTGGCATTTATATCTATCTCTGTGTGTTTGTGTGTGAGTGTGTGTGTGAGTGTGAGTATGGAATGATAGAAATGTGAAAAGTATCAGTACAGTGATGGTCTTAATAGTGATCATGAAGGGTCTTTCAATGTCATTAGTAAGTGACAAACACCTCGAAGCATAAAGAAGCAGGTTAACGTATGGTGTCAACCCTGAGGAAAAGGGTTTACTGTAACCAAGGACATGGTTACAGTACTGAAATGAATCAAGAGCTGGATCAGGGTATTTGAAGTCAGTTCAAAGTCATGTGGTCTTTCTGTCAATGTGTGTGTCCTAATGGAACAACTTGCAATCTGATTTTAAACTGTGCAGTGTATTGATGCAGGGGGCTACATGCCATTTTAAATCACTGTGTGTTAGAGACTGTAACCAGGAGTGAGCTGAGGTGGGAAGGGAGAAAAGGGACAAGGAAGAATCCATTCCCTCTCTCCCTCTGTTCTTCACAGACACAATTTACACCAACAGAGATGTTCACATATGTCAAATGGATTCAAATTAAATAAATTTGACATCTGAGTGGAAATAAAAGCTCCTCACTTCTGTTTAAAATAACATGATTCCCTGTCAAAACAATCCACTCTTCCATGTGCATTGTATACTCACCCTTTAAAAATCGATTTAAAGCATACTAAACCCAATTCAAATACACATTTATTCCTAATGTAACTGTGCTGTAAGCCAAATAAAAGAGAAAAGTTTAGCCTCAAGAAAGAGAGAGAGAGAGCCAGCAGGGGCTGAAGTCAGAAGGGCAAGATAAAACAGAAATGCAAAAATCACAAGTCGAGAAACTACCAAAACAGTTGTCATGAAACATATCAAAATTTGGGTGGAAAGGCAAATTAACTTAGGAAATAATGAGATAAAAAGACTTTGAGAGGAAGAGAAAGGCCATAACATACGGTGCACAGTTGAAGACAAATCTCATGTTGCCAGTTCAGGTGAAAGGGAACTTCTAGGTCTGAAATGGAAGCCACTGATTTGAAGCTGAGCCCTGAAAGAGGGTCTTTATGTGCTTTCTTTTTTTCATCATTGTTCTTTCACTTTTAGTCTCCATAATATGGTGACATTTTTAGTAAGCCGGCCAAAAAGGCCACAAAAAGTATTCCTCGGTTAACTTAATAAATATTATCATTGCAAAATGGATGTTGGGATTTGTTTTATGAACAACATGGCTACCTCCATTTTGTTTTTTTGCTCTTGGCAGATATCAAATAATGCTGGACTGTTGGCAAGGAGATCCAAATGAAAGACCAAGGTTCTCACTGCTGGTGGAAAGATTAGGGGACTTGCTACAAGCTAATGTGGAACAGGTAAGCAGTAAAAATCTTACACGCGTCTCCCTTCCATTTCCTCTTCTTCTTCGTTGGGGCTGTGCTTGAATCACAGTGCTTTCAGTGTAGAAGATTCCATGTTGAGACACTGGCATCTCCAGGTATGGCTGAGAGACTCTTGTGCCCTTGGTGTGAGAGTCTGAGGGGCTGCTGGAAGCTAGCGTGTACAGAACTGAGAGGATCAATGGCTCAAGCAGTGGTATCTACTTCAACTTCATCTCCCTACGACCATGGCGTGGGCCAGAAAGCAGACTGCCATGGTGAAAAACATGCTCCTTATGTGATGGGAGTTCTCAGCAGGTGTCGCACTCACCTATTATTGATGCTGGTCTGTAGGATTCTTCAGCAATGTGGAGGAGGAGGAGGAGGAGGCATCCTTTCCTCCTTGTTGCTATTGCAAGAGTACGGAATTGTACTTGTAAAAGAGATGTGAGCTCTGCATTGTTTATATAAGGGTTGAAGAGTCGGGGGCCTCCAGATGTAGCTGGGTGGTGAATTCCAGATTCTCTGGTCACTGGTGTTGATGAAGTGCCACTGGCACCCTGAGCCTGGTTACTAGGCCCAGTTTCTGTACTATTTCTGTCTCCTTGATAATTTAATATCTTTATCTATACAGGATGGCAAAGATTACCTCCCTCTGAACACTATATTATCAGTAAATGCCGGGTTTGACCATTCTTGTCTGACATCCCCTAATCCTTATGAGACAAAAGGTGATTCAGTACCAGCCTTGAATTATGCGAGCAATGAGCCTTTGGGGTAAGACTGAGTTAAGACCTTTTACATACTCATTTAAGGTTGCTTAAGATATTATACATACAGCAGACTATGAACAGGAGCAGGGTGTTGGTTGCTGGACCCAGACAGATGCAGCCTTTTTAACAACATAAGAGGAGCCATGCTGGATCAGGGCCTTTTGTCTAGAGGGGCGGGGTATAAGTCTAAATAAAGTAAAGTAAAGGCTAAGGGAGGCAAGGTGGGCTCCCTCTGTTGTCCTGCCACTGATAGGCAAAGACATTTTACGAAGGCTTTCATGGCCAGGATCTAATGGTTGTTGTCGGTTTTTCGGGCCCAAATATGCTAAGACATATCCACAAAGAGCAGTGAAATATATTGAAAGTCCTGTGATAGCCAATATCTACTCATTTTAATTCAGACAGGCTACCTTGCTGCTGAACACAATGAATCTGATCAGCTAGATTTTAACTATGCCTTTTACTTGTGTTTCTTAAAAACAGAATTGCTGTTATGTTGTTTTAGTTAAGATCCTGTTTTTAATCATCATTTTAGTATTGTGAGTCACTCTGAGCACTTTTTTTGGGTGAAAATGTGGGTATAAGTTAAACAAATGGCCAATTTTACCCAGTGTCCTGTTTCACACAGTGGCCAATCGAATGCTTCAAGAAAGCCCACAAGTGGAGTAGGAAGGTTATAGTGTTCCTCTTTGTGTCTCCCTGTCAGCCTCTCCTTCTGCCAGAGGCTGGACATAATCATGAATAGTTGGACTTTGGATGTAGCAGCTCTGAGAAATGCTATTGAGCTGCATCCAAATGAGTCTGCTTGGGTTTTCAGCCAATAATTTATCCTTATGGCATTTCCTCTGCCATTCCGTTTACCTTGAGTGATCATCTAGGACAATCTCTACATTTTGTTTCTCATCACAAAACCAACATCTTTTAGTTTTGTGCATTTTATGTTTTGTGATTTCTGGGTCTTTAGTAATTCACCATAGTAGTTCCTTGTTGTTTACCTTCTCACTCCTAAAGGTTCTTTCCAACCATCAAGACCATTATTCATGAATCTGGAAGTTGAGTCATGAATGTCTCTAATGCTATAGCTGAGCAATGTTTCACTTTTGGACTCCTACTTCCAATAACTCTGCTGGCAGGGGAATTCTGGGCGTCATGACACCAAAACAGAAAGTTTGCCAGTGTTCTGCAATCCCTTTATAACAGCATCTGCACCTGTTGCCTTCGCCAATGTGTGTGGCAGTGGATTTCATAAATTACATTTCTTTTTTAATCAAACCAGCTTCTGCCTTTGCAACACAGTGCAAATACTTAAGCATCATAAAGCATCTTTTCAGGTAGAAATGGAAAGTGTGTCACTAACCTAGCTTACTCAAAACACTTCATAGGTGTCACAGGTATTCCTCTTGCTTTACTTTTCTCCCTGGTGAAGGTCTCTGCACCGCTCAGCTGTTGCCATCTCTTTCATCAACTGAGGCTGGCGCAAGGAAACCGTGTGCTTCCATTACCTAGAGGTCATGGTGATCTCAGTGTGATTTTGTATGGCATGAGAGATGGAATCAAGCCCATTTCAATCCAGACTCCATGCCACCAGGACAAGAAGTTTGGTGTCTTCTAAGACATATCCACAAAGAGCACTGAAATATACTGAAAGTCCTGTGATAGCCAATATCTACTCTCAGCTGCAACAGATCTAACTGAATCAGTGGCATTTTCTTTAGTGTCATCATTCAACATTTTCCTAGTTCAATGGGTCTTCTTTGGTGAAGGCTAGTGTTACATACAGCTATGACCTCACCTGTCCGTCACTGCTAAAGCTGTGAGTCATCTACCAATGGTGTGACGGAGGGTGGTAAATAAGGGGTGGAGCTGTTGTATAAACGGGAGTGAATGTGTGTGAGAGATTTTAGATAGGGCTTGGATCGGGTTTAGAGAGGAGTTAGGAGATCTGTGATATATTGTGAGAGTCTGTGTATGCTAGTGCCTTTATTATAGTGATTGAATAATTATTTAATTATAAGTGATTTACCATTCCTTTTATTTGTACCCAATAAACTTGAGTTTTTATTTTGAATCATATTTTGGCCTGAAGCTACTTATTTGAGGGAATGATTGGTGGCAGGGGAAAAGAAGAGTGAAGTAGAGTGACGTAGCGACCCCCCTTTGTGAGGTAGAGGGAGGCCATTACAGCTAGCATTTGTATTTAAGCCATGGATTACAAAAAAAAGAGGTTACGGGAAGTGCCATCCTCGCTGAAATCACAGACCTATGAAGTCAATCATTCTGTTTCTAACAGTAGCTAAACCAAATTATTCGAAAAAGCTCCCAGGTGGGCTAAGGATATTATCCATCCACGGCCTAATTGAGATCTATAGGCAGCAGTAAACATGTGACTTCAGTAAGATTAAGATATTGACTCTCTCATATGCAATTTGAGACAACTCCATCCTCCCCCAGTGAAAGACAGAGGACAGTAGGAGTGCCTTAATGGTGTCATCATCCATGTTTACAGGCTCACAAATGTTTTTTATTATACATCTGTTGTATGAATTCTTCTGACAAGCTTCTTCACTTCTCTCCTTTTTAATAAGATATGCGAATTCCTCCAAAATGAAGCCACCACAGAGGGTCAAGACCTTTGAGGAACTGTCACCCAAGAACAAATGTGGATGTGATGTAAGTCACAATTAATTCTTTTCAGTTAATTCCTGTCTTGTTCAGTTGGAAAATCTTTGTTATCCTTCCCTTCAAGATTCTGTAGGCTGATGTTATGGGTGTAGCAGTCTTTCTTGTAGTGTGGGAAACTTCTACATTAGTATCTGTCTCTTGACACACATACTGTAAGCACTGCTTTAAAAAAAAACACACTGATTGTTTCTTATGAGTTAGCAAATTGCTATCAGGTGTAAGAGACTATTATTATATTACTGGGATCTCAAAGCTGAATGCAGAACACATCCATACAATATGTGTGTTTTTGCTGTTCTAGTCCCAGCAGACTGTGTTAGGAGGTAGCCTCTTTATTCACTTAATTTCTCTCCCATCCTTTCTTCAAGGAGCTGGCAGTTTGCATGCATAAGGACATATATATTTGTATGTACAGAGAAGAGCAAGTTTCTTGCAACCTGAATGGCCTTGATTTACACATGTGGTGTATATGCCATCAAGTAACTCTATCTTATGCCAACCCTAATAGTGTTTTCAGCATGTGTGAGCTATTTTAGGAATGATTTGATCAGTGCCCTCTGCCCTCTTCCAATGAGTTCCTGTGGCTGAGCATGGATTTGAAACCAGGGCCCGAGTCCTAGTCCATCACTATACTACACTGGCTGTCAGATGTGCTCTCAACATGACTTATACACCATTATCATGTGCTGTCAAATAAATTCTGAGTTATGGCAATCCTTTTCAGAGTTTTCTAGACAGAGCGTATTAAGAAGAAATTTACCATTCCCCTTTTTCTGAGGGTGCTTTGGGACTGTGAAGCTTGCCCAAGGCCACACAGGCTGGATCTTCTCCGACGAGGCACAGTGGAGTTGGAACTCCCAACTTACACATACACTGGGATAAAAGTGGAAATAACCCAACTTTCTTTCAAAGCCAATATGATTTTTGGAAAGGGCCCACCCACCTGCAGTCCTAAGACATACTTAGGACAGGTTCCCCCAAAGCCCTCCCATTTAAATGGGAACAACAGAGGAAAAGTCATTCCATTATGAGAGGAGGAAGAAGAGGAAAAGCCAGCTCTTGCAGTAGCTCTTATCAGAAGCACATTTCCCAAGAGCCACTAGGACCTTCCCTGGCTCGGCGTCCAGCAGTACACCAAAAGCAGGAAAGGAAACCTGCCCCTGTTTCTATCTGCCTTTTGCTTCCCTTACTGCAACTGTAACACTGTTGCCACCCCCCATTGCAACATCTGGTAAATGCAGAAGGTTTAGTGACTGAGAAGATCAGGGATGGGGCTCATGGCTAGCTGCATGTAATGCAGATTCTCTCCCACCCCCAATATGGTTGTTGTTTAAAGAGTTATTTGAACCTCTGAAGCTTACAGCTGAGCATAAGCTTGGCGAACTCTGATAGTACCTCCTAACATGTATAGGTCCGTTATGGTGTTGTTGTGTGTTGTCAAGTCGGAGCCAACTTATAGCAACCTTCTCAGTGAGCTTCTAGGACTGAGCCATTATATCATAGATACTGTATAATGATACAATATAATTATATCATAGGACCATTATATCATAGATTAATTTTAATATCTGACCATATGGGGGGAAAGGGAAAAGAAATGAAGTTTTAGACAAAGAGCATTTATCACCTATTCACTTAACAGTTCGTGGTTTGTTTGTTTTTGTTGTCCCACTATGACCAGTATCCTGTTAGTGGAGAACCATGTGCTTTCAAGTCATGCAAAGGGGAATCCATTATCCCCTTGCATAAGAAGAAATCCCTCTTTGAAGTTGCTCCAAGTTGGAGATGGGGAGGGGAGACGGTAGAGCACTTCAAATCTGAAGCCACTGTGCTGTGTGAAAAGGTTGTTCACCTGTAATTGTTTGCCACAGTTGATTAAGCCACCTCTCTTGTAATTCAACATACTCTTGCTGCATTATAAAAAGAACAAGACATAGAAAAGCCAGCTTTGCGTGTACTGAAATTCTGTATATAAATTCTACAGACATTATTTTTGGGTATAAGTTACTTAGCTTAGGCTTGTCACACTGGCACAAACAGGGGTGACCCACAACCAACCTGCACAACTAAAACTCTTGTTTTCTTTCAGGCTGACCGAGTAAGCAATGGAATAGCTTGGCCTTTGGAAGAGCTGAAACGTTTTACATGGACAGGAAGTAAACAAAAGCAAACTTTCTCTGGGTATGGAAATCAAGCTATAGTTCATTCTTTCACAGAGGCAACTAAATGGAAAGTTTTGCCAGAACTTCTACTGTGATTAAAAAAAAATAGAACGAAAGGCAGCAGCTGAAAAGATGAATTGTTCTAGCAGGGGTTTGCTCTTTACCTCTCACTTTACCCCTGCTAGTCTCCTCAGCCAAACCAACCCTCCCTGCTTCAAGATGCTGCTGGCCCCCCTGGACGAATATATATGTGTCACACAACAATTTGCGCTCTAAATTCAATAGGTAGTCCCCAGTAAAGTGATGCTGGCACCATACAGCAACTGAATCAACAAGTCAGCTCTAGTTGGGACTAGCAATTTGACTTGACCTATATTTATTCCTCCATGGGGCAAATATCAACACTAGGGGTAGATTTTCATCAAAAATATTGGAGAAGGGGATGTTTTGGCTTTTCCTCCCCTGGTCTCTACCTTGTTCTTGTTATTCCACTTTTAAGAACAAGACCCAGTTAAAATATCTCACACTCCCATCTAGCTTGGCTGAAAACAGGTCTGTGAGTTCCTGTTTCACAAAGACTTCATACCATTGTCACCAGCCCCTTTTGCACAGTCATGTGGGGCAAAAATAATTCATATAATAGCACCAGTAACCCATGGCAAGGGCAAATGTTTTCTGGCCTGAAGTAACACACAAGCATGCCCATGCTATGTATTTCGTTCTCTTTTTAAATGTATATGGTTCCAGAAAAAGTGGGGTTCTGATAGCTGACAAGATTATAAAACAGGTACTTAAAATACTCAAGAAGCTCAAAACACAATCAAATTCAAAGCAGTTCGAAAAGCACAACCATTAAAAGAACGGGACCCACCCATTTACATGGTGTAGGCCCAGGCTCTGGGAAGTACTCTTGGTTTTCAGATATTGAGGGAGTCCCTTCTCTCAGTCCTACCTGCCTTACACCTGTGGTGAGGGTACAAAGAGAGGGCTTTTTTAGGTGGTTGCTCCCACTCCCTGAGGAGGTGGGCTGGGATAGCCACAGCCTGTTGTCCTTCTAGCCATAGGCAAATATCTTTTTTGTTCATGTAAACGGGCTACCTGCTGATGGAAAGGTTTTTAATGAAGGGTGCGGTTCTTTTTTTACTGGGTTATCGCCACCCCCCCCAATGTTTCTTCCATTTGTTTTGAATTATTTTGATTCAGCGAATGCTTTGATATGTTTAGCTGCATTTTAATATCATTTACAATGGTTTTGGCTGTTTGTTAATCATTTTGTAAGCAGCCTTAAATCCCTTTATTGGGAGTATGTCTGCAAGTAAAATCCCTTCCTTAGATCTGGCCTGGTGCAAAAAGCCCACCTACATGAAAACATCTTTGCTGATGATGGAAGGATAACAGCAAGAGATCCAGCTTGGCCTTCCTTGTAAGGCAGCTCCATGGGTAGGGTGTAGTCAACATATAGAACAAAACTTTATTTTTCATGCCTGGCCTTCCTTGTAAGGCAGCTCCATGGCTAGGGTGTAGTCAACATATAGAACAAAGCTTTATTTTTCATGCTCTCTCTGTCTCTCTGTCTCTCTCTCTCTCTGTCTCTCTCTGTGTGTGTGTGTGTGTGTGTGAGAGAGAGAGAGAGAGAGAGAGCACACAGTTTAGAGAACGTCCACATTTCCTCTTTCCATTTCATGACTCAGCACTCAGACGTAATCAAACTGAGACACAGAGAACGTCTACATTTCCTCTTTCCATTTCATGACTTAGCACTCAGACGTAATCAAACTGAGACACAGAGGCCCAGGGGGCGATAATAGCAACCATGACAATGAAGGGGTGCAGGAGTGTTGTTTCTTTTCCTGCTCTGAGTCTCTCATGATGCAATGGTAAAACTGCTGTACTGCAGTCAAAACTGTGCTCACAACCTGTGGTTCAATCCCAGGTTCACTCGGCCTTCCATCCTTCCGAGGTCTATGAGTATCCAGCTTGCTGGGAGGGAGGCAATGTGTAGCCTGCATAGTTAACTTGTAAACCACCCAGAGAGTGGTTTAAGTGCTATGGGGTGGCATATAAAGCAAAGCAAAGTGCAAGCTGGGTACTCATTTTACCAACCTCGGAAGGATAGAAGGCTGAGTCAACCTTGAGCCGTTACCTGGGATTGAACCCCAGGTCATGAGCACAGTTTTGGCTGCAGTACAGCAGTTTAACCACTGCATCACGAGGCTCACACTTTGCATTTTTTTTCCTTGTTAGCCACTTTCCTCTGCCTGGCTTCTACCTAGGGACTAAGCACTTGCCAATGAAAAGAGTGGGCCTTGCAGGAATTATTTCTCAGTTGCAAAAGCCCTATATGTTACCTGGCCATCTAAAAGTGGATGACTACTACTTACTTTGGATATGAGAGCTTCTTAGAGGCCTGAGACATCATTGTCAAAGTTTGTTCACAGTAGACTTACGGTGTCAGTCCAAATGGTGGTATATAATTGTATTTAATTTATAAATTGTGAGAAACATGTTGTATGTATTTATCATATAATTACTCTTTCTTTGCTTGCAGCCTCCAGTCTTCCAAGAAAAGCAAGGAATTGATCCTCTGTGACCCAACCAAGCTGAACATCTACAGTTTCAGCTGTGGCCATATCAGTGATGTCATTCAGCCTTCAACCTATAATGGTTTCACATGGGAAGGGAAGCCTGTAAAGGGTTTTCCTCCATCCAGTTATAACTCTGAAGTTCGATATTCCACTCCACCTGTTTAGCAAAGGACTTCTTCCCACTTCTCAAAGCAGCTGCTCATTGATGGAGTTGCACTTCTCTGTTAACCCCATTTAGCAACTGGACAGTGCTTAGAGCTGCTTGCTGATTCAGTACCATTATCTATGCAAACAATGAAAGACTTTTTCTCTGAAGCATCAGAGGCAACTCTCTCTACAAATTGCATCTACTCTGGCACACGCTCTCATCCCACAGCAGAAACGTTAGACCTGTACAACTGGAACAAGGGGAGAGAGGCTTGCTGCAAGGGAAGAAGCCTTTTTGTAATGTGCTGGCCCTGCTCAGTGTCTCAGTTACACATTGTTGTACTGGCCCATATAATGCAATGGAGGAGCAGTGAGATTAACAAAACAAAAGCTGCTTCCAACCTATTCCTGAGGACCACTTTGTATTTCCACGAAATTTGCCTATTTCTGCATATGACCCCCATCTTTCCCCAATAATCACAACTGCTCAGAGTCATTCCAATAATGGATACATGGGTGATAGTGGGATAACAATACTAAACTGCTATGTTGCCGTAGTGTGTGAATGGGCAATTCTGTTGGTCAGCGCACATCTTTCTTGGAATGATCTTTACTATTCCTTCCCCCCCCCCAAAAAAAATCTGGGGATTACTGCAAAAACCTTCAAGAGCTGTTGAGGTAGATGTGGGGGCATTACCAGAGTATAGCAATTTAGCAAATATCACTGGAAAAGTACAACTGCATATTAGTGAGCATTATAAAATGAATTTATTACATTAATAGTAATGTATGAGCTTTAGATTTAAAATATTGACCCTAAATGGGGGGGGGGAACCCCAAACTCTCTCATCAGGCAAATAACCGTAATCTGAAACACTGATGTCACTCATTATAATAATGTAAGTTAACAACTTTGAAAGTTGCTGTTGGAAATGCATGGGACACTAATTAATTTTTACCAAATTACTTCCAATAGAAAATATTCCACAGGCAAGAAACGATGTTGCCTCCAAGGTGGGGGGAGGCACAATACAATGGCCAAATGTTTTAGTGAAAAAAGCCTGCATGGACAAGAGCAGTCACGCAACATCGCTCTGGGTGGTAGCACTTCATGAGAGCTATGTTGCACAACCAATTTCACAATCAGTATAGAAATAGGTGTAGGAAGGTCTACCCACCTGATGTGGGGAAACAATGTCTGTGATGGCTCTTTGGGTTCCGTGTTTCCCCAGCAAAATTCTGACCACTTGTTTATACTTCCACTGACACAGATTTCCTCCAAAGAATTCTGGGAATTTATTTCTTTAAAGATCTTGAACTCTCTTCTAGACAGCCTTAAAACCTCCAGACTTAACATTCCAGTGGACATAAAATAGTTTTTTTCACCAGTGGTCTATGGACAGCTATGTTCTGTGGAAGCTGGAGTGTAGGGACTGAGGTAAAGTTCAGGAAAAACAAACAAACAAACACAGATCCTGTTAAAAAGCAATTAACTGGTTCATATAGAGAGAGCAAAAATTAAGGCATATTTATCATTATTATTATACATTTATTATTACCCATATGCAACACTTTCAAAACTAGTACCAGAACTGCTGCACTGATGCAGCGCCATGCTATGCAGTTCTTTTCCTTTTCTTGGCACAGAATGCCAGCACTCTAGAATGAGGCAGTGCTGTAAAACTGAAAACTGCCATCATTGCTTAAAAGTGGCCAAAATGCTGGTGCAGCCAACTGCACTGAAATGGAGACTAAAGGATAAGGTGCACAAACAGCATCTGAGAATTAACTGGTTTGCCACAGGCTTCTTTGTACACACATCTTATTGGCATCATATTAACTGAAAACTGTGGAATGTTATACAATTGTGGAACACAGCATTCTGATTATTTCCATTCTTTTTCCTCTTTCACGCACTGGGTCCTCATGACGGTAATCTAGGGTTGAGTGTTGGCAAGCAACATTTAACTATCTAACCCTCCCTTTTAGAGCAGGAGCTGAGCTCCACTGTCCATTGATTAAGTGGAACTTAGTACAGTACTTACCTTAGCTGTATACACTGTTCTTCGCTATGCACACTGAAAAAACTTTATAGTCAGCAAATTATATAATGAATGCAATCTGCAGAGCCTTTATTCAGTGCAATATTTGAATATCCGTATCACATCTTAATTCTATTACTTTTTAAACTAAGAGAATACAGAATTCTCTAGATACACACATCTTTATTATAGTATAGCCTGCTTTTATATGCCAGTTCCAAGTGACAACACAGGGAGCAATTATCCACCCAACCTGCTACAGCTGCAACTATGCATATAGTATTCAAAGGCCAGTTAAGATGTGTCTGAAAGACCTGCTGAATCCAATGTTATTGCTGCTATCACACAAATATGGTAATTATTTAGTGCTAAGAGTATGCTGCTAAATTCATTTATTCTAAGGGATGGGTAGTATAATAGGAACATTGTTTTGGTTCACCAATAAACCACAAAGTGAAATACAGAATGTTGGTCATGATAAAATTCCAGTGAACACAATGAAATTTAAAGGAGGATCCCTCAAATGGATCCATTGTTTCTCATGGAACTTTGTTATAACTAACTGTAGCTGCATCAAGGCTAACAGATTGCAGCTAAACCCCACCCCCAACTGGGAATGGGTTGATATAAACATTTGAGTACATGTGCATTTTTACAATTTTCCTGCTTCTGAAACCTGGAAGCTTGTAAGCACACCAGTCATCTTTTGATCCACAATTCTCTTATCAAAGACACTGAAGAAAGGAAGAACTAGAGAATGAAAAGATTAGCTTCTTCTACAAGGAGCATATTAGTAGCTGTAAATATACTTTTTTTCCAACTAAAATCACATGGTTTTAATAAACCACCTGAAATTACTCTTTAAAATATTTTTTTTACTAAAGATAACTGGATGTAAATAACGCACAACTGCAGCTAAACTTTTAAATATATTTTCATGCACATTTTCTAAACTTTCACAATAAAATTTGTTTGCAAACTTTTCTTGAAAGAGTGGTATTTTGCCTGTGTGAATTATCTGCACATATGCTACTATGCCTGTTAATAATCTATGCATATGCTACAGAAGAGTGTTGTAGAGCTAACTAGTCCTAGTTTGGGGCAAAAATTACTAGTATTTTTATTGAATAACCTAAATATTTTTTAACAACCACATACATTCCCTCAAAGAATTCACTGTACTCTATGGGTAGGGCTTACAATGTCAAGAGATGCCTTTATATTGAGTCTCTATTACATGAGTTCACACATCTATGCTCTTCTTCATGGCTCCTGAGCAGGATGTACATTGGTAGCTTCACAGCTAGAGATGAAGCCTCTGTGACTCTCAATATGTCACATTAAGGCTGCAATCAGACTAGAAAAGTGTTCCCCTTCTTTCTCTCATCTTCTGCTTCCTGTATAGTTGCACATTGTGGTCACATGGCATATATCCTGTGATAATGGTTCATACATTTTTTTTACCTTTCCACTTTTTGGGGGGTCAGTTAGATGCAATACATTCCTCTACACCTTTCAAGCAGGACATAGCCCCTTTTCTTCTGCCCTTCTCTGCCCCATTTCCCCCTTTTAAAAAAATGTGTGTGGTCACACAGCTGTGTCAGCAAAATACCCTTGCTGACCACGTACTGATCTGGGCCACTTCTTCCTATTTCTGTGCTTCATTACCCTCTATAGAGAACCCACAGCGCACTGCAGTGGTGGTCAAAAGACAACAGGGGGAGTGATGCTTTGTATTTGACAGAAGCATACCGACAAGCTGACATTCCTGTTTGAAAATTACTTTTTTAAAAATGAAGGGACTAGAACGAGAGTGGGTGAGGGAGGTGGGGCCCACGCCAGATTCATAAGAAATGAATTGGTTTTGGAGTACACACTCAGTGGAATGTAATTTGTATTGCATGGTGAAACATGGAATAAATATAGTAGTATCCTTCTAGTGGGCTGGATTTGATGCAGTGATGGGGGGGGGAGGAATCAGTAATGGCCCTGCATAATCTGAACCCAAAAAAGGGGCTGAAATTCACAAGGAGTAACTTGAAAACATTTTGCTGGTGTGACCACAGCCTAAGCCAACTCCCACAATCTCTGACTGCTGGATTTGTTGGCTGGACTTCAGCTCAGTGGCCTTCAACATTATTGGCTATCGAAATATACCAAAGAATTTCAGAAGAAAACTAAGTTATGCTTCATAGATTAGAGAAGTGATTCTCAATGTAGGGCAGTCCAGGTGTTCTCAGACTGCAACTCCCAGAAACCCCAGCCAGCACAGCTATTAGTGAATGTCTTTGATTGTGTGGATCATGAGAAGCTATGGAGTGTTTGAAAAGAAATGGGAGTGCCACAACAGTTGACTGTCCTGATGCATAATGTATACTCTGGACAAAAGGCTACTGTTGTTAGGACAAAATATGGAGAAACAGAGTGGTTTCCAATTAACAAAGGTGTCAGGCAAGAGTGTATTTTGTCTCCCTATTAGTTCATTCTGAACACAGAACACATCATACAGGAAGGTAGATTTGATTCCAGTGAAGGAGACATGAACACTGGTAGAAGCAACTTGAACAATTTGAGATGACAACATATCATGAGCAGAAAATAGCAATGACTTGAAATGATGATTGCTGAAGATTACAAAAGAAGTGAAAACAGTTGAACATTAAGACAAAAATCACGAGTAGAGAAGAATGATGTAACTTTAACATTGGGAATGAAGACATCAATATAGCTGATTTTCTTTTTTATATATATAATTTTTTATTTTCCAACATATAATTTACAAATATACAAAGACATTATGTATATTTTTATATATATTTTTTATTTTCCAACATAGAATTTACAAATATACAAAGACATTATGTATGAATAAAACAAACCAGTTTAGAGCTTAATCTACAAGCAATCTTATTTACTATTACATTTCTTCCATTTTTATCTTCTCCATATTGTTCATTTTAGTTCTATTTATTACATTACTTTTGCTTTCCACCAATCATAAAATGCATTCCAGTTTAAGTAATAAATTGATTTTTCTTGTCCGTTAAATCTCTTTGTTAATCATTTCTGCACATTCTAATTTTTTTTAATGATCATGTCATCCTTTGGTGGATCTCCCTCCTTTCAGACCTGTGCCCATACTAATCTAGCTGCTGTCAGAACATGTGACACAGTATTAAATAGTAGCTTTGCCTATTTATATTCAGAATTAAATAGTAGCTTTGCCTATTTATATTATTTAGTAATAATCCCAATAAGAAAATTTCTAGTTTGAATTCCATTTCTTGCTTAGTCATTTATTTGAATTCCATTTCTTGTTTAATCATTTAATTCACATATGTATTTTAATCCAATATTTTCTTGCTATATCACATGTCCACCATGCATGGTAGTAAATTCCTTCTTGCTTTTTACATTCCAACATTTATTTGAAACATTTACAAAGATGTTTGCAAGTCTGGATGGAGGGAGATGCCATCTATAGAACATTTTGTATAAATTTTCTTTATAGGAAGTTGCTAATGTTAACTTGAGATTTTTTTGTCCACCTTTGTTGCCATTTTTCTAATTCTATACTGTATCCAAAGTTTTTGGCCCATTTTAACATTGTCTCCTTATCTTCTTCGTCTTGTGTGTCTCATTGCTATAAGAATTTGGACAGTTTTTAAATTTGTTGTTTTTCTGCAGTGAATAATATTCTATCAAATATTGTATGTTCTTTATAGAATCCTATTTTAACTTTAATTTTTCCCCAGATTTTTAACAAAGCGTTCCTTATTATATTTCTTTCAAAATATTTGTGTGTTTTGGTTTTTCTATACCATAAAAAGGCATGCCAGCCTGCTTGCAAATCATGTCCCTCTAGGTATAATATTCTCTTGTTTTTTAGCTTTATTGATTCCTTAATCCACGTTAAAGCGCTTGCTTGATAATATAAAATCCAATTTGGCAAACTAAATCCTCCTCTTTCTTTTGATTCTTGGCCACTTCTTTTGCCATATGAAATTTGCAACTAACATATTTAATTCTTCAAAAAAATTCTGTTCTAATTTGATTGACAAGTTCTGAAGAAGGAAGATTACTTTTGGAAGAATGTTCATTTTCACCGTTGCGATTTTACCTAAAAATAATAATTGTAATTTCTCCCATCTTTCCAACTCTTGTTTGATCTGTTCAGGGATGTTTCACATAATTATCTTCTTTCAGAGAGGAACATTTAGCCATCAACTTAATTTCTAAATACTTTACTTTTTTGTTATTTGAATTTCTGTATTTGAGATGGGTTGTGTCTTTTGTTTTTGGGTTAGATTTTTAGTTAAGAATTTTGTTTTTTTCTTGATTAATTTTTAATCCAGCTACCTTGCCATATTCCTTAATTTGTTGGGAGTAAAATTGGGGCTGTTTTTATTGGGTTCTCTAAAATAAAGACCAAGTCATCTGCAAATGCTTGAAGTTTATAGATTTCCTCTTTGATCTTTGTTCCTCGTATTCCTTTGTTTCTCCTAACTTCTCTAGTCAATGTTTCTAATGAGAGAATAAACAACAATGGGGAGAGTGGACAGCCTTGTTGTGTTCCTATTGTAATCTCAATTTTAGGTGTTCCTTCTCCATTTACAATTATTTTTGTTGTTTGTTTCGTATAAATTGCTTCTATCATATTTAAAAAATGTTGACCAAAGTCCATATAGTTGAAAGATTTTCTACACCTTGTTTTAACTGATAATGCAAATAGAGACTGCAGCCAAAAAATTACAAAACTGAGATGCAGACGGGCAGGTAAAAACCTGCAGAAGATGGCCAAACAGCCCGAAAAACCTACAACAACCAAAGAGGAAGACTTAACACAAGGCAAAGTCACTTAGTAAGAGAATCCACAATATTTATTTTGCAATACATGAGCAGGGCTGTTAAAGACAGGACTTTCTGAAGGCTCATAATGAATGCGGTTTCTCTAGGTCAGAAGCAACTTGATGTCCTATTACAGCATTAACAATTTTAAGCAGACATCCTCCTCACACAATTTTAAGTGCATAAGAAGGGCCCAAGAATTTGCTACAGTATCCTCCTGCCAGTTGTGTCTCATCAACCTGGTTAAGGGGGAAATGTTTATGAGAAGGGATCCTATTATAGTTACACAGCTTTGCTGCTTGGATTTGCGAGGCTCATGACAAGGATGCAGCAAAAGGAGCAAAACTATCATGCATTGTTTGCCCTTTTCTTATTCTGTTTGTATGAAAAGAACACTTAAAGGAAGATACTGGCATGGGTATATTGAAGTCATTCATTGAAGTATTCGAAGCAAATTCTGTCTGTCAACCTCATTTCACTGGTGTGTGATCATGACCCACATTGATTGGTTCTGGAGGGTATCTTCCAAATGGTTCGAGCTACAACTTCCACCCAATGATCAGCAGTGATGGAAGCTGTTATCTACTACATCTTGGGGACATCAACATACCTACCCCTGATCTAGTGGACAACAATTTCAATCTTTTAGGCCTTGAGATCCCATGATAATCAGCCGGAATTGTCTGTGGTTCAGAAGACTGTAGATTTGATTTTGTATGGTTGACAACTTATGTTTTCTATTGTTGCAATTATATTTGTCACTGTTGCATCATTATTTTCACAGATCTTTACTTTGATATATTCCCAGCATTGTAACAGAAAATGAAACATCACTTGCCCCAATTGATGTCATTGTTAATTCCAGAATCTTCTAACATATGTACCAGTAGTTTTGGATGCTTTGCCTATCAACACAACTGCTTCATGGTTCTTCTAGCCTCTCTAGTTTGGTATAGGGGTCAGACCAAAGATACAGACAGAATACTGTATATTAATTGTAGATGTTAGGATTCAACTTGCTTAGCAGTGTCAGAAATTATTGCTGTTTGATTCTGAGATACGTTCATGAATGAACTAACAGGGAGATAAAACATCACCTGTCACAAAAAGTGATTGAAGACCTGTAGATTGCACATGGAAATACTGGCTGCCTATTAGGAAGTCATAATCCAATTAGTCCTAGTCAGATTACTTATTTTTTCATGTATATCACACAAGAAGTATTTTATCCCATTCCTCCACTTAATGGACTGTGCAACATAGGTTACAAACAGCCTCCGGACCATTTAAATAGAAGGCAGTAGTATGGGTAAGGCAACACATCATATATGCCTGGAAAAAGGCAACACTGACTAAAATGCTATTGCACGTGTATAATTCTATAATGGAAACTGCCTACATCTTGGTGGCAAATTCATGCTTACTAATGTGGTGATGGTTGCACACACTTAGGGCTGCAACCAGCAACTCAATGAGCATAATGCAAGTGCAAATATCCAATACGATTCTCACCAACATCTTACCACTACACTTGCATTAGGATCATTGCAAAGAGCTTTGGGGACTGATTCAATTTGAACCCAGATTACAGAAAAACAACACTTATATATCTAGCTAGCTTGATTCCAAAACATACTTGAAGAACAACTTTAGGCATATCTATTTGCAAGTGAGTCCAACTGATTTCTGTGAAGAGGCATACAGAATTTTAGCATATATGAGTCACTATTATGTAGAAGAACGTCCTAAGCTAAGAGCTGTGGGACAGTAGAATAGACGACATGAGAAATGGCGGATTCTCATTATGTTTAAAGAGAATTTGGATGGGCATTTGTATTGGACTTTTAGATACGGATTAGTGAACTGGAAGAACTGGACTAGATGGCCCTTGGGTACCCTTCCAGCTCTACAAATCTGTGATGGAGGGCATGGGCAGGACCAACACAAGTAGGAGTACTGAAGGGACTATAAGGATGAGAAGAGTTTTCACTTCTATAGCATTTCAAATTCTCAGAGCACCTTAGTCTAATTTAAAAGCCATATTGAAATTATGCTTTCCAAAGTTAGCTACTATAAATTTAAAAATACAAGGTTTTGATTTGAGCCTCCGAAAGCTGCTCTGTATGATGTAAAACAATAAAGGCATGTTTGCAATCATGCGTAGCTGTAGCAAATTGTCGCAGGCAACTTTCATTTTCAAATGTTTGTATAATTAGAAACATGCTTTTGCTGCAGGTACATTACATGTGTGATGTTCCTTAAAAATCTGAGATGAGATGAAGTCACCTGGAGCTTCATATACTGAACACTCTCTAACTTCAGAGTGAAACGAAGAAAGGCAAAGAAACCCAGTGGGCACAAAACAAGGCATGGCACACACTTTCAAAGGCTTTTAAATTACGACATTACTTCCAGACATTTTAAAATGGGTTGGGAGCCCTAGTATTCTTCCGCCTGCCTGAGAAAAGGGTCTCAAGCAAACCTGCCTGTGATCCATGTTTGTTTGTGAAATAAACTAAAGCAAAGGGTATATAAAGGGATGAATGGTCCAGATTAGTTTATGAAAGAAAAAAAATGTAATATTGATAATTTGTGTGTCATCATTGAGTTTTTTTACTCAATGTGAGTTTTTTACACTTGATATAAATATATTACAAGGTAGGTGAGGGTACAAAAGGCTTTGCCGTGCTTTCAGTTATTCTTGCAGTTAACAGTTAAAATCATTTAAAAAGTGTGTATTATAAATTTCGTAAAACCTATGTATTATTTCCCACAAAACAAATTACATCTTCTAATTATGACCAAAGAGATCAAATCAAATTTGAAGCTAGTTTAGAACAATTTTCATATTATTCTACTACTGTATTTGGACCCCCATCTGAAACAAGTAAATCCACATTCCTTCCTGCAGGTGAGCAAGAAATATACAGCACTATTTTGGGTGTCGGTGTGTGTGTGTGAAACAGTTGTATAACAAAAAGTCAGTATGAATTTAAGTTTGTGGGACATAGCAAGTGTTGACTGTTAATCAAATTTGTAGTAGTATGGCCAAGAGAAACACAAGGAAAACAGAAGTGGAAGTCTATCACACAAGAAGTGGAACACAATACCCACATCTTCACATTTCAAAAGACGTCTATGTTATTTCTGGAATTCTTTATTAAAAATACTGCTGTACACATGAAAACAATGAAAAACAGGATTAAAAGGTAACACATTGTGGGATCATGATACCAGAATGTAACATACCGGTGCTTTTTAGGGGAAGGTGTTCATATCTAAAATTTTACTGTAACAAGGGCAAAATGAAAAAAAGCAAAACAAAACAAAAACATGTACCCCAAAAGTATTTACAGTGTAGCAACAACAAAAATCTGAGCAAGCAACCTAAAACAGGTAAGGAAATTTCAACGGTGTAACATCACATGATTTCAAAAGGTTGTCTTTTCTGTGCTTTCAACTGTAAAGACAGGAAGGTTAGAATTGTTTCCTGACATGGAATAAAAGGAAGCCTTGAGATTTTTAAAAAAATATTACTGCTCTGTTTCATGAACTACATACAGAACTCTTCCTATGAATGGAAACATGCTAGTTGCTGGACAGCCTTCTAAATGGAATTATGTTAGACTGGAAGGGATCTCCCCCCAAAAAACACCAAAACAGAAACTTCCAAATCATGGACCAAATAAAATAACAAAATTCCACATTGTTCTATGCATTACCCAACAGCAAATATTTTCTGGATGGTATTTATTTATGGAAACTTATTGGATTTTTGCTCATTTTCCCCCCAAATACACTTTAAACCAAGTCCTGAGATTACGGAAGCTAAAGCAATGGATACGATATTTGACAAAATTTGCAAAATGCAACTTCTCTTTTCAGAGGTGGATCTTGCTGGTATAAGCAAGGATGAGATCAAAGACCTGCATTGCCCTGCCTTTGCTTTCCCAAAATATTGGTCCACAAAATAATCTGTCAAAGTTCCTAAGTCCCGCAACTGAAGAGATGATCCCCTTTTATTTTCAAAGAAAACAATGGTGGGAAAATACCCATAGCCTCAGCCCGCTTATAAATTAAGCATTCAATATTTCTTCTAGAATACTACTTTTTTTGTACAAAAGAATTACAATATGATTTTTCAAAAACATATAAAAGACAGCTGCTCTTCCTCAAATACATGAGCTAATGATAAAAGACGGGTTTGCCATGTTCGTATCGCAAAGTCTCTTTTCCTCTTAGCATTAAAAAGAACACTATTATGGCAACTGTTATTGTCTGAATATTAAACATTACGCTCCATTTAAAACTGTTTTCCAGATTAAATGATAATTTATTTTATTTACTTAAGCTCGTCAACTGATGCTACCAACTGCAGGCTCTGCATTTCTCATTAAAGGTGTCAAGGGAGTCACTAGCTTTTCAAAGCCTTTGTTAAGAAGAGCACTGCTTTTCTTGAGACAAATCAAAAGTAGGAGTGTCATCATTAAAGCTTATAAAACTGGAGAAAACTATTAAAAATTTATCTGCAATTACAAATATTGAGAATTAATAAAATTGGTGCTGATAACATCAGTTGCAAGTGCTTTCATTCCGTTCGGACGCTTTTTGAAGAGACTTTCCATATTTTCTTCATGGTGAGCACCCAGTGCTATTAAACATTCAGTGCTGGGAAAAGAATGTAGGTACACACAGTCTTCACTACTGCTTTAAGAAAGAAAAAAATAGTCCTACATATTTGGCAGTCTTCAGTATCAAAGTGAATGTGTTGTACTACAAATTCCCTTGAAAACCCAAGCTTGCAGATAAGTGTGGGTCCAGTTCAGAAAGATTCTTGCGGGGAGAAAGTCCAGACTTGACGGAATATTCACATGTTGGATATTATCAAAAGTAACATTACTTTGGGCTAAGCAGTAACTGCAAAGGCACAGCAGACCATCAATTCCTCCAGAATCAGGCTATAAAACTTCAAAAGCTCTTGATGCCAGACAACTGCTGTGTATAGTTAATCTTCTGAACAGTGTCTCTGTATCTGTATCCAGTGTAAATTACCATAATAAAGCTGTGGTTCAAAGAACAAAACTTTATACAAAAAGAAAAAAAGGATACCATAAGTAACTTAAAGGAATATACTCCTGAAACCTCAGGCCTATAACACAATTTGTTTTTAAAAATTCTATTAAAAATTGCATAAATGTCAATGCATCTGATTAGCAAGAAAATATACAAACAGGTACTTTATTTAAAAGGCGCTGGTTTTGTTTAGAGCAATTTGGTTTTGCTCCTGAAATTATAGATCTCAAATGCTGCTAGTTTGTTTAAACAAAGCTCTGAACAAATAAAAGGGGGATTTTACATGTGACATTTCTATATCTTACACTTGATTCCACCCCCACCCCCACCCCAATTTTTAAATACACATCTTCTGGTTTGTTTTCTTAACCTAACAGTGAGTGGCATATGACACAGTTTTATAGAAGTTACACGCTACACTGTAATTTACAGAACACAATTTTTATGAAATTATTCATCTGGTCCTTTCTGTTTTCTGGGGTGCAAATAATATAAAAATGAATAAATTCTGCAGTGGTGAATAATAATAATAATAATAAAAAGGAAACAAACAAAAAACAAAAAAGAATATCCCAGAAATGTCTTTGCAAATAGATTCCCTTAATAAGTATCCAATGTGGCAAAACTTCAGAGATCAAGAAGTCTTTTAAAAAATAAAAATTAGTGCATATACGAGTGGAAAAAAAAATAAAAGCAGGAACATCATCCCCCTGATGTGTTCCTTGTTTTAAAATAAATTCTTCACAGATAAAGCCTCCAATGGCAGCCAGAGCTCAAGGGTAAGCAAAATTACTCTTCCCTTCAAGTAACAGTGTACCTGACTGAAGTGCAACATTTCCCGCTGTTTTGTTTCCTGAAATGTGAAATGAGATGACGACAATCAGCTGTAGTGCAATTTGCTCTTGGTTACGCTCCTCAGCAATGTCCTGCATGCTTTCAACAAGTACTACAACTGGCCATTTGCAGCTGCAACCAGTTCTTGGAAAGTATTTTCAAAGCAGCGCTTCAGGTCGCTATACGTCACCACAAGGACACTCTTCTCGTCTCTGGAAATGAGGCTTATTTTTTCTGGCACACCAGCATCTAGCTGAAACCAAAGCACCAGAAACATTACACATATTAACAGAACAAGGATTGAGATAAACAGTAAGTAGCATTTCTGGCACACAGAAGAATGCAATGTTGTTCATTTATGCATTGGTGAAGGCTTTCACAGCCGGGATCTAATGATTGTTGTGGGTTTTTCGGGGGTTTTGGGCATGTCCTGAAGGTTGTTCTTCCTAATATTTCACCAATCTCTGTGGCCGGCATCTTCAGAGGACTGGAGTAGGAATTCCTACTCCTGTCCTCTGAAGATGTCGGCCACAGAGACTGGCAAAACGTCAGGAAGAACAACCTTCAGAACATGGCCAAAGAGCCTGAAAACCCCACAACAACCATTGTTCATTTATCCTCATGACATCCTCATTAAGGCACTATCATTATTTTTCTGTACAAGTGCAAGATACATTTTTTGTGTGGAAATTCTACTAGTACGATGTTTCAGTAAATATGTCCAAGAACAGTGGGAAGGGAGGACATTTTAAATCTACAGTTACCTGGAAGCCAAGGGAAGCATTCAAAACTGCACAACAGACATTATGGGAAAAATAAACAATTCAACTATTTAGATAGAGCCCCAGTACAGAGCTTTTGTGTGCCTGTACTCCCAAGGGATCACTCATCTGAATAGACCTCCAAGGCAAATTCCCCCAACATGCAGACAGCTTACACTTATCCGTGATGGTGTATATTTATGTATGCAGGGACATTTTGGCATGAAAGAGCGATTAAGCCCACCTGTCCTCATATGTAAATTATAGGCCAAACCCACCCCTATTTCAGAAATGACAAAGGTGAATTCGCATTAAGACTAGTGAAATAGTAAATGCTGTTAAATAGAACACCACACAGTGATGTAATTTTCTATGAGACATAATAGACTCTGAAATTTATGAGAAGAGGCATCCTTTTAAAGTTAGACAAGCATTTTTTCAAAAAAGAAAAACTGAACATGGCCCAATTTCAATATGATTTAGTACTCCAGGAAAAGGTTTGTACAACTCTTTGGTTCATGCTTCTCTCTTCCTCTCCAGGCACACCCATAGGAAGACTAGAAGCCACAAGGATAAACTGGTTGGTTTAAATTTGTTGGCTGAAATAAATCAGAAATAGAAGGCAAAGTTTGATTTAGGTTTGTTTCAAATGAGAGACTTTATGGTTTAGCATCACTTGTGAACTGGGCCCATGTGCATCAACATCTTTTAAAACATCCAAAGCAGCACCTGTTCGTCCACCATCCTATACAGTGGACCCTTGACTTACGAAGGTCTCTACTTACGGAAATTTTGAGGTACGAAAAGCTCCGGCCGCAAAATTTTAGTTCAACTTGCGGCTGCAGCTTTGACCTATGAAATGCAGGGAGAAAGGGCAGGAAATTCAAAGCTGCCCCCGCTGCCCTCTTGTCTCCTCTCCTCGGTGCCCTCTGCCTCCTGTCCACAGGAGGCAGAGGGCACCAAGGACAGGAGACAAGAGGGCAGCGGGTGCAGCTTTCTAAGCCCCGAAAGCTGAAAGCGGCACGGAGTGGCTTTTGGCCTGCAAGCTGCCAGGTGCAGCTTTGGAAGCCTGGGTGGAATGGATTAAATGGTTTCAATGCATTCCTATGGGAAATGGACCCTCAACCTATGGAGTTTTCCACCTGCGGCCACTGTTCCAATACAGATTAATTCCATAAGTTGAGGGTCCACTGTATAGTATTTGATGATGCTATTGTGCATTGACCCACAGCTAAAGGAACAATCTAGGATTCATATCTGCTTGGAAAACAACCTGGCTCCATTTCAATTAAAATGAAACCCAGAAGGAAAGAAAACAGTAGGAAATCAGTATGCAGTGAAATAACTTGGAAAGTACCTATTAAGAACAACAAATATAACATGCTGAAGCCATATAAGACTGAATACTGTTGGGAGTCATCCTACCAATGGTCAGTTACAGATAGCTACTAGACATGGGATATTTGTAGTCATATCCCTGGGGATATGAATATCAATATCAGCACCACAGTTGCCTGGAAAAACTAGACCCTTCAGAGCTGGCAGGTCCACTTATTGCTTACCATGCGGTGCTCATAACCAACATCATTCTCATCACACCAATTGCAGAAGTAGCCCAGCTGGCGCTTCCCCACTTTCCTGCACAGCCAATCACTCCGGTGAGGAGGAGGAGGAAGGAAGAGTCTCCTCACTTAGCTGCTGAGCGGATGGTTGCGTGGGGAGGCGGGGAAGTGCCCGCTGGGCTGCTTCCTAGATTGATGTGACAAGAACGCCACTGGCTGCAAACACTGTGCAGCAAGCAGTAAGTGGACTTGTTGGTTGGAGGGGAGGTCCGGTTTTCCCAGGCACCTGTGGTCTAATGCCTCAGTAGGACCAAATTCATTCCCCTTAAAAGTAATGTTCTAACCTTTGCAAAACAGAACAGTTCTAGTTTACCTTGTTAAGACAAGATATAATGTGACTGAGGTCTATCCAGGGAGTACCCGCTTCTGTCACCTGATGGAAAAGATGATCCCTAAAGAGCTTTAGGAGATACCTGTCTCCAGTTTCTGACCACGTTGGGTCCTTCTGAAATCTATTGTAAAAACAGAATGTTTATGTTTCTTATTAAGAGCGCAATGTTCACAAATATCTCAGGATGAGTATTATATGAATATTTTTGTTCTGTGGCAACATTTAGTACATAGTTTAAGAAAAAGTGGAGAAAAAGCAATATACCATCCTTCTGATTACAGAGATCAAAATGATAAAAGCTACTCATGGGTCCCAAAGCATTTTATGTTAACTATGCTTCACATTCTTCTCCGAGTATTATAATCGGGTTGATTCTGAAAACCAGACGAATTAGGTTTTCATGTGAAATGTTCTACGAAAAGCAGTATTACTCTATTTTTATGGTTGGTATTGTTAGTTATGGTGGTCAGACTTACAGTGTCCTGGAGAATGCAATCTCTACAAATATCAATTACTGATCCCCGTATCCAGAATTGGCACTGTAGCACTGTCTGCCCTTGGAGGATATTTGCTGCTGTTGGGAGAAAAAACTGAAATACCTTCCCAAAAATGTACTAACAACCTGGAGTTTTCAAATTAAGTTAAGTCTTGCAAATATGCCAGAATATGGTAAAATCTCTCTTACGAAACCTCACCTTATACAGTACTAATTATCCTCTGCCTCCAGACAAGCCTCAAGACAAGGATGGCATTATCCATCTAAGCCATGAGTGGTAAATATATATTCATATACAAGAATGTTCTGCCGTGTGTGCTTTAATTTGACTCAAGTAGCCTAGCTCATTTTTCAGAGGTAAATATATACTTGGCACATCCATCATCACACGTGAACATTCAGACTGGGATCCCCCTTTACAGTACACTAGAAAAAATGCTGAATTCCTTACTCTGGCCTCTCATTGATTGTTCCCAATTTTGCAAGAAGCCGAAATAATCTTCCATTCTGAACCTCCTAGAAGACAAGATTAAAAGAAAACTTGGAAGGTAAGGACAACAATATGCATATCCTGGCTCTACTCTGAACCTCACTTACTGAGTTATTCAGTCTCCAACGAGAGCATACACAGTTGTAAAACCACATAATGGGTTGGATTGAGATGAAATTAGTTGAATATAGGTTATATTTCTAGCTTTATCTTAATTTCATTATGGTCATTCTCCATTCTGCATTGTTTGGTGTGTATTTTATATTGTTAATATACTAGACACTGCTCTAAGTGACCTGCTTACAAATATACACTGCCAATCCACAGTTCCGGGGAAAAGCAGCATAAAAATGCAACAAATAAGTTTATATTACTGTCTTTGTAAACCAGAGAGAAGTGAACACTTTTACCCTGATGACTGGAACGGAGTCAAACCCCCCCCAAAGCAAGTGAATATGTATGACTATGGCCAGATGTGAAAGCTTTGTGATACTATTACCAACAAAAGCTTTCCAAATCACATACAGAAATGAGCATGTAGTACCTTTACACATCTGCTGTAGTGAAATGGGCATTAGCATCTTACTGTGCGTAGAAATGAAAAATCAACACTCTATCTCTCATCTTTATACAGTGAGCACAAGCACTGGTCTCAGCTGAGATGAAGGTTTTGATTATCCTGAAATACCTGGTCAAAGTATAGTTAAATGACTTGAAAATCCTAAGTGAATCCAGTTCCAAAGATGCCAATAAGCACTGCAGGAAAAATAGCTGAATTTATAATGGCAGTAGGATGCACTAGACAGAAAATGGTAACTCACCTTTGCAAGGTCTTCCTCTATTACATCATTCCTCATCTGGGCAGCATCCAACTGAGTATAGAATCTTGCACCAATCATAGGCATGATATCATTTACACTTCGAAGCCTGTTTTGGTCAGTCAGTAAATACCTAACAATACAATTGTTTAAAACTACTTTTACTAATAATTGGCTTTTAACATCAAGCAAAAATATGGAACAGATTTCTAATTCAGAGAGTACATCAAAGATTAAAAGAAGCTAAATGACCAAGTTCAGGAGGCAGTCCGTGTCATTCTGGCAAATCCTGTGACGTTGCTGGAACCAGTTGTATTGGATCTTGCCTTTCCATTGGACTATTTCAGCAACGTGGAGATTTGCTGCTTGGGTAACAGCCTATCCACCATATTATTTTACCCAGGCTTCATACTCTGGAGAGGACACTCTCCAAATTCTCCATACAGAGCACGTTACCATAGTCTCTCCAGACTGAAGGATGCCTAATCTAAGTAACAGCTTTTATAGGCTTCTTTTATCTACAGTGAAGACAATTTTGTAATTAATTCTTTTCTTAAATTTAACTGTTACATTTAATATTGTGAAGGTATGTGTTCCAATATTCCAATATCATCCTGCAATTTTTTTTTTACTTCCATGGTAATAATTCCATTAAAACAATATTGTACTAAGCATCAATTCCAAATTAAATCTCATATATCAGAATAAGACATTTTAGTCACATTTTGCTGCCAAACTCACAAAGAACTACATAAATCATTGTCACTTAAGAGTTGTAAACAATGTCTCTAAATTTAATCCATTTGCTGTTGCTTTTGTTTCAACAGTCAAAAACTTGGCTCAGACAAGAATTGTCCCAAAACCAGCACAAACTATCCCATGCTTTTTTTCATTGAATCATGATGCAGAGAAGCAGAAATGGCATATTTGACAGTAAGTTGGCCCTTTTCAGATATCTGGTTGACAATAGGTTGGCTCTATTCAAACTGAGCAAAGGAATTTACAGCAAGTTTAGAAAATACAGGAAGCGTACTTAAAACTCTTCCATCAATCATTACCGCAGTCCTAACTACAATCACACTGTTAGCCATCAATACACTAAAATTCTCATAGGGTCAGAAAATACCACACAAGTCACTCAATACAATATTACTTCTTTTAATCCTGGTGAATGACAGTTAACATCCTGTAGTTTTATCACCAGGGATGAAATATCCCCTTTTATCCTCACTACAGAAGGTGCAACTATATTCATCTCCTGCTAAAGGTTCCCCATAGGCAACTGATTGGCCACTCTATGAACTGTGCTGGACTAAAGAGACCAGCAAGACTCTTCTTATGTTTCTAGAGTGTGATAATCATCTTCCCACAAGTATATTTCTAATCTTGCGCTATAGCAGCAGTCATTACATTTTCCACCAAAAAGTGTGTTTAGCTCAGATTTTAAACCAAACACATAACAGCTGAAATATTCTCAAGTGTTTATCTGAAATGATACTAGTTATTCGTGGTGCCAGTTCATACTCACCTTAAACAACACTGCTGCTACATGAACAATATACCTGTAGCAACATTCTGAGATGAAGTTATTATGCTATGATAAATCCTTAATTATCTCATAAAAGGCACAGATACTGTACAATGCAATCGTTTTATCTTACTCTCCGCCCTACGATGTCGAACAATATCTTCTTTTATCCTCACAACAATCTTATCAGGTAGATTAGACTGAGACAGAGGTGCCTCACAATGAACTTCAAGTGGCAGGATGGGAATTTGAACCTAAAGGAACCTGTAACTGTTGCTCTTTGAGTGCCTACACAGAACATATTCCTCCTGGAAGGAGCACCACCACCCTTCACCGTGTTTGCCTAGTGCTATTCCTTCCCAATTTCCTCAGCTTCTAGTCCACTGCACAACACACCAGACAGGATGTCAAGAGAAGAGCAGTAAGGGTAGTGGAAGTTCTCAGAACACCACTCAAAGGACTGCACTTACAGGTAAGCAACCTGTTTTTCTTCAAGGTCTCTGTAGTTTAGTTCACCTGGCAGAAGCAGGGTGGATGCCACAGTAGAATAAATGGCAACATAGTTCTTCCACATATAGAACATCATTTCTACCTGTTGTCTAAGCGGTAATGGCAGACAAAAATAAAAATCAGGGACCAGACGTTCAGCAATGGGCCACTGTTTAGGAAGACTGCTGGGGAAGTTGTCTTGCAGAATAACACTTTAAGAACAATTTGCTTGGTCTGTGAGCAGAAGCACTCGTATCCAGGAAGACCACTTTAGAGTAAGTAAATGCAGGGTTGTAGCTACCAATGGCTCAAAGGGGTTTTCCACTGTGATAACATTACTGACAAACTCCGTAACAGAGAACAAGGCAAGAAAGAGAAATTCATATTTCTTAGTCCTTTCATGAACTTGGAATGATTCAAGCTGGAAAACCATGTGCCTTTTGTACAAGGCAAATATGCAGAAATGGATGCTAAGTACCTTTGAAGAGAATTACAGTGGTGCCTCGACTTATGAACATCCCAACTTACGACCATTTCGAGTTACGACCAGCTCCGGCCGCAAAATTTTGCTTCTACTTGCAGCCGGAGCTTCCAGCTACAAACAGAAAAGGCAGGAATAAAAGGCAGGAAATTCAAATTGCTAACTGTTGGTAGGCGAAGAGGCTGCTTCTTTGTAGCTCTTTCGCCTCAACGGTTAGAGTGAGTGCGATCGGAGGAGGCTTCGGACTGCTGGTAAGGTAAGGTGCTGCTTTCTGCTTTTCAAAAACTGTTCTGGGTGGGCTTTGCAATGTGGTCTCGGGCTGGGGGGGTTACGTTTCTGGGCTGTGATGGGTCTTGGGGGGTTGTTGTTTGTTTTTTTGCATCCCCCCATTTCCAATGAGTCTCAGGGGGGTTTGCTTGCTTTTTGGGTTCCCCCCATTTTTGATGGGTCTTGCAGGGTTTGCTTGCTTTCTACTTTGCTTTTTTTTGCATTTCCGATGAGTCTTGCACGTTTCGCTTGCTTTTTCTTTGCTTTTTTGCACTTCCAGTGGGTCTCACACGGTTGATTGTTTTTCTCCCTCCCCTTCGGCCGGAATGGATTAATCGTGTTTCTGATGCGTCCTGCAGTGACTTTTTTTTGGTGATTTTTTTCTTTGGCCAGAATGGATTAATTGCATTTCAATACATTCCTATGGGAAATGGTGCTTCGACTTATGACCATTTTGAGTTATGACCAGAGTTCCGGAACCAATTAAGTTCATAAGTCAAGGCACCACTGTTTATGTTAAACCCTCATGATTCAGTCAAGGAAGGAAACTCATGATCAGGAATGTCAGGAACAGATGATGCATTTTGGATGTATTTTTGGAGTTTTTGCATGGGTGGTAGTGTAAGGCTTATATGAGTATTTGACTTTGGGAATGATTCCACAATTTTTATTTATTTATTTGATTTGTATCCCACCCATCTGGTCTATACGACCACTCTAGGCAGTGACCAATATGTGCTTGGGATACATCTATTTGGTCAGAATCCTACCACTTACATGTACAGGTGTAAATAACAAGAAAATCTCAGCAGCTAATTGCTGCTAGTTAATTCCCTACTTGTATTTTTGTATTCTTTGTACCATGCCAAATCCTGCAAAGGGTGCTAGATAAGGAATATAAGCAACAACTCCTTAAAAAGCAACCATCTACCATGGAGATTTACACCATTGAACTTATATGAATTACTTCTGGATGTTGTTGGCAACAAAGTCTGTATGTCTCGGTGATAGAACATCCCTTGTCAGAGAGACAGAAAATCCACTCTGTGATACTCTGTAATACCAGCAGAAACAGGGAAGCAAACAAGTCTAGTGGAACCACAGTGGTGTTATTAGAATGCAACTAGCATCCTCCTGGCAGCAACCTTTGTTATTAAAGAAACTGAAAGGAATATATAAGTACTTGTTCTTGCACAATGGAGAAGAGCATCTCTCACTGACAGACTCAGTAGTTGTCCTTTTGAACAAAGGAATAAGCATTTCCTTGAGTGATAAACAGATCTACATATTGGTAGCCACAACATTAAAAAGGATCCTATAACATGTCTTGATATACTGAAATACCACATGAGTGGTGTCTATCACCTGAGGACATCTTCTGTTATATCATCATTTCTAGACAGAAAAGCCATTACTGGGTGAATCTGATGGAATAAGCACCATTCCCAGAATTGGTGAGCATACTTCAGATGTAGAGCGGAATGAATTAGGAAAAAAATAATGTGGTTGCACTGTGTGTGTGGGGGGGGAATGTTGAAAATAACTCACCCTTAAATATCTTATAAAGGACTGGCTGATATAGTTGTCACTCTCAACCCTAGCAACACTTGAATCTTGCAGGCAGACAGAAGGGTGACATTTCTAAATAACTAGGTAAATGAAATGTATGAAAGTGGATGCAAGCACAAGCACTGACTTTTTCACAATGACTCCTGTGAACTGCATACATCAGGAAGCTTAGACATTTTTAAACTGATTTGGAGCCTAAAATCCTTTGAAAGAGGTAAAATGAGATTAAGTTTTTTGAGTAATGTCCAGTTATACTGTGCTACCACTATGTATGTGGGGAAAGATCACAACCTCTTATTCCCCTTAAATGTACAGCCACTACCATGTTACCTAATACACATACTTAACTTGTAATGTATGGAAGGCATATTGGCTGCTCTAATACACTTAAAAACGTTGTTTTTTCCCCACTTCCTTGGCCGCTACAAAGAGCTGAGGAAGTGTTTAATTTGTTAATATCATCAAGTGGTTCTTTTCACAATACTGGCAAATTAAAAAGTGAAAGGTTTGTTTTCGCTTGTTTCCAGTGATCACACACACTGGAAATGGACCGTTGAGTGATTCTACCCACACCAAAAAGTAAAAGTCCCTGACGGGGGCCAGAAAGGTGCGGGTAGGACTGCTCTGGGGGAGGGCTGGTTCGCTCCAGTAAATATACTTGTCTTTAGGAACAAGCCAGACCCTCCTAGCAGTAGACCAAACAGGAGACTAAACAGTTCTGTAATCAACCTATTAGTTTAATGACAACTTGAAAACTAACTGAACCTTGGATTACTGAAAAGTATACTAGATCCCAACTTCTCAGTCTGTAAGTGGAATAGATAATACCGGCAAAAGAGATTCTCTTTCCTTCCCATTGCCCCCACTATGTATCCCTCTTACTTCGAGAGCTAGGGAATATTTTGGGGCTAGGGAGGAGATTTGGGATATGTGCAAGAGACTGCAACAGGAGGAGAGTAAGCTAAAACTCTACTGCACAAGTAAAGGTTCTATTTGTATGGTACTGGGTGGAACTCAGTGCAGCCTCGAGAGCAGCCATTCTCAAGGGGGGCTATATTGCCCCCTGCCACTGCTCCCCAGCACATTTGAAGGAGGTGACAGACTGGAAACCATTATTCAAGCACCACCTTATAAGGTTCATTAGGCAAATTACACTATCCTGATCTGGCACATATTTCTTTCATATTGTGTTTATGGCCAGGGCCAAGAAAGGATTGAGAATGGCATTCTAGAGCTTTGGATGACAAATTCTACATATGTGTAAAATGTTCAAGAACCTGAAGCACACAGATGCTATTCTGATGCCATGGTAATCATATTCTTCACAGATTATGTGCAGACACATTCTCTTGGAAGCTTCTTGTGAGCAGCTATATTATTCAAAGCAAAGTGTGCTACATATTTACATTTTACTATAATTTAAAAAGAAATTTCTGGTCATTTCACATAACTTACAAAATAAGATTCTTCAAATCAGAGGAATAGTTGATTGTCACCAATTCCATAGCTTTCTGCAAATTCTCTCTCTGAATTCCTGCCAAAGAATTGCAAGCCAAAGCCAACACAACCTTCCCAAGGGAGATCAAGTCTGCTTGCTACAAAAAATAAAAAAAATAAATAAAAAATAATTAACAAGCAAATTCACCAGTCAGCAATAGATTGCACATTTCCCCAGCACTTTAAAAATACATGTGAATATTTCATTTAAAGTCATTCCTAAAAGCGAGAAATATATCTTTATCAACGAGCAGAAACTCGTTTGTCTATGTATTTCAGTAAACAATATAGACTCTAGCAGAGTCTAGTTCTAGCAAGAATTCTCCTTTCAATCCAGTTCCCATCTTTATGGATCTTTTCCTTCCCACTTTTTATTAAGTTTTGACAAGCACTACATATTAGTTGCAAAGGACTTCCGATGCGTATAATCTTGTAATATCTACTTGGAAGGGAGGCAAACATGTCAAATCAGGGCACACACGTATTTCCTGCTAAATGACAGATGATGCCATTGCTGTATTTGATGGTTAACAGTGATTCCTGTTGGTTAGAGTGGTCGACCAGACCAGATGGGCGGGATATAAATCAAATAAATAAAAATAAATAATAAATTAGTTCAGGCACTTAGTGATCATTTCACACTAGAACTGTATTCTACTAACCACATTTTGCTCTTTAAACTGGTAATAGGAAACTACAGTACATCATTCAAAAAGTAGCAAATATACAAATCAAATTAAGTCAATAATTATAATTTTATAATGGAGTGTTATCCAGGTTTTAATCTGAAGCCTTCTTTGGACAATCAGCAAAGACCTAATTAAGGCAATTGTTGAGAGTTACTTTAAAAATATGCCTTCTGAAATACTTTTCCTTGAAAGACAAACTCTATCAATAAAAACTTATCTGTATAATAATCACAGTTCCACTTTCTACAAACGGTGTCCAGTAACAGAAGTTGCGAATTCAGGCTTTTTTTCTACCTAAACAAGAGTGGGATTTCTTCTGACAACCCACCCCCACTATTCCCAGAGACACCTATAATCTCAAGAGTGGATTTGGGGAAAGTGCAAACATCAGCAGAGGGAAGCAAAAGGTAGGAAAATGACATTCAGTTCACAGGAAAACAAGTTAGGATTTGGGTTCATGAAACAATAAAGTAATATGTAAATTCTGACAAAGGGATAAGGCTCTACAGTAGAAATTCTATACATACAGGAACAAATGTGAATTGCATAACTACAATAACTATGCAATACACTTCAGTTTCTCATTTATAGGAACAGAATTCTGCCAGGGATTCGAATCTCCACTGCCTTCGAGAAAAGAGTCCAGCTGATATCACCTAGAGCATGTATAGCTGAGGATGTTAGATGCCCTGACACCTATGTGGCCTTGGATACACGGCACAATTCCAGAGCACCACCAAAATGAGGGTGGTAAGCCACTTCTGAGTACATTATATGCAGTAAACTCTATGAGAATTTCTGTAAGTCAGAAAAGACCTCACATCACATACTAATAGTAATTTCTTTTCAAAGAGCATTATTTCATATTTACTGTAATATACTCAAAGATCTCAGTTGTGTTCTTACCTAACCTCAACCCACCATGGAAATATTCTTACAGTATTCTTTATACCAGTGGTGGTGAACCTTTTTGAGCCCGAGTGCCCAAACTAAAACACAAAATCAACGTATTTATTTCGAAGTGCCAATACTGCAATTAAAACCCAAATGCTGGGGTTTTAGTTTAGAAAAACCAACTGCTCCTGCACTGCAAGGGTTAAATGCCCCACCATGGGCAATATTAACAAAGAAATACTTACTGGTCCTCCAGTCCCCCATTTGACTAGACCGGTAATGGCCACCATTGCATTCCTCTGCTGGACCACTGCACCAGCAGAGGGGAGTGTCAAAATCCAAGATCAGGGGATGGGTAAGTATTTCTCTACGGCAACGTATGGCTCGTGTGCCCACAGAGAGGGTTCTGTGTACCAGCTGTGGCACACGTGCCATAGGTTCACCATCACTGCTCTATACTAACACAGTTAAAATACACTGACTTTAGAAAAAGGGTAAGCAGCTGTTACATCTCTTGTGCAATACTTTCTTAAGGGTTCAACAAAAAGGGAAGTCATATATTAAAATCCACTGCAGAGATGTCTTGATCATAATCTATTACAGTGCTAACATATTATAACAAGACTGCTCATTACCTTGAACTATGAATAGGAACAGAGCTTTCTCTGGGATGGCACCCTGACTATTCAACTCTCTTTCTAATGTTAGACTGAAGAACTTTTCTTAAAGTTTTAAATGGGCTATGACAACATTTTTTTCTGCATGGCTGTTCTGTTAAATGTATTAGCCCTGCTCTTTGTTTTGTTTTGTTTTTGTTTTACAGTTTAAGCTGTAAGTCACTTTCTGGGCCCTTTCTGGGTTTCAAGGTGATTCTGAAATAATTTTATAATGAAAAATTAGAAAACAATTTTTAGTGGCATCAAATCAATGCATCAAAAAATGGATGCATCATATTTTTAGTATAAGTATGCTTGAGGTAAAATCTTCAATAAAATATTTATTCAGACCTTCTGAGTACCTTATATATTCTTCAGCATTGTTCATGAACTCCTGGGTAGAATCAAATGTTAAATTTAATTCATGCTTTTCTTATGCTGTCAAAACCACTGAGTTGATCACATTCATTTTTTAAAATGCTTATATATATCACAGATAATATATATTAGATCATGGGAAATATTAGCAAACACCAACTGAATTAGCAAATGTACAATACCTAGTGGGAAGACTAAGATTTTGCTCTCTTCCTATTATTGAAACAGCCATCTTTTGAATACTAAACTTGAAATCATGCTGCAAAATATACTTCAGCAACCTTTCATTTCCCCATTTTCCTTAATGTATTTTGTGTCTGTTTCTTACCTCCATGTATTTTTTCCTTTTGTTGCATGCTTTTATTTCCCCCTCACTTGCAACGTTTCTTCCTGCTTTTCAATTCTTGTTTTCTCCTCTGATTCTATCTATGGTTCTATTTATGTCCATTTTACTGTATCACAGTCTCTATTCATGTGGCTGAAACAGACTATGAAAAATAGACTGCAAGAAACAATGCATTCTTTTCTCATGGCCCTCTTAGCCCATTCTTAATTTCTGCTCTTTCGTCACTACATGTACAATGGGATGTAGTACAATGGGATCGAAGTTGGAGAAACAAGCCACTCTTCAGAGCGTTCTGGTTATCTACACTCAATAAAATGAACACAAATGATAAAAGCAAAATGTAGAGCTCATTTGCTACTGCAGAAAGAATACCAAATACTAGTTATGCATAAAGCCAACAGTGGTTTAGATTTTTAGCTTTGATATATCTTGGGCCAAGTCCATTGCTATGAAGATCAAATAATTTAAGAAGTATCTGTTGCAGAGGTCAAGAAAATAGATTTCAGACTTCCAGTTATTTTGCTCTACTGCTGTTTACACTGCTTCCTGTTGGCAACTTCTTTTCTGAGAATAAGAAATGAAATAGATCCTAACTCTATAGTCTAAAAAAAAAGGTACATTCCCAAATAGAAGAAGCGCAAGAGAGATAATAAAATGAACTCAGAGTAATCACTTGAAATACTAAATGATTTTATCAAGTGCTGGATAGTTAGGCTAGGTTTGGATTGGAGCTAAGCCCCCTAAATGAAATAAGAGGGGATCAGAAGTTTGTGTAAAACAGACATTTTGTTAAAATATGTTATAGACTGACAACATGAGGCTTTTGGAAGCATCAAATGATCTTTTGGGCTACATGGAGTACATAATTCTTACACTGTATTAAAGTTGTAAGCTGCCCAGAGACCTTTGGGTAGAGTGGGCGGCATATAAGTTAGTTAGTTAAATAAATAAATAAATAAATAAATAAATAAATAAATAAATAAATAAATAAATAAATAAATAAATAAATAAACAAACAAACAAACAAACAAACAAACAGTTTTTCCTTACATTTGCTTGTTTTGACATCTAAATAAAATAAAATAACTCAGCTGGAGTCTCAAGAATTATGTGCTGTTATCTGTGTAAACTGCAAAATACTGTAATTTTACCTTACTGTAACCAGGCAAACTGACACTCTGAGCTAATTATGTAATTTTTTAGCCAACTACAGTATCTTTATTTCAGCACATTAGAAATAACAACTGCTATATACTATGCTATTTTTAAATGAAAATTTGTGAAAAGTTTATAATCTAAATGCTGTCCAAAATCCTACTGGTTATTTATCCAGGTGTGTGGGTGGGGGATTGTCATTGGATAATAAATTGTTGCTTATATCCCTTGCCTTCTTGCACACCAAATCACATGACAGATGCACAAGGAAGATAAGTGATGACTCCTCAACTAGCTACCATTTGTGGCTGCAGTTTATACTACTGCTATTATACTGGTGTAAATAACCAAAAGGATTATGGCCAATATATTGACTAGTATTTAAGAAGCATAATTTCTCACCATGGCTTCATAACAAAGCATATTGCCAAGAGCAAAGTGCCTTACAAGAACTTGGTATTCTCACTGCTAAGCCACAGACTTTTTCCCGCCATGTTAGAAGAATATGGAGCAGATCTTGATAACTGGGTACCCGGATAATGTTCCTAACCAAGGAAGAACAGATGACACTGAAGCTGCTAGGAATACTATTAACTCAATCTTAGTGCCAGAGGAACACATGTAATTTCAATAGGAATTGGTATTGGAAACCTCTGGAATGTCTGGCGGCCAGGGAGATGCCATGCATGGGCACTTGTTCCAAAAGAACACAGAACAGAAAAACTAAGAAAACAGCAGAAGCTACACTTAGTAATCTATGCAAAATGTACTGCAACGCCCCCTATTCTCTATGGGGAAAAACCATGCAGGATTTCAGTTCAAGCCTTTCAGAAGCCTATGAAGCTAGGTGATGGTGTGGGAGATCCTTTTTCCCCCCTGCTTCACCACATGTCCTTTCCCTCTTGTGCTGTACCATGTTAGAGGGACTGAGCAATCTGAGAGATTGTGCAAAGCAGGAAGCAGGAAAGGGATCCTTTTTTCCTTTCCTTCCTCCTGAAATATGTTTCAGTAGTCCAAGATAAGGACTGTTTTGATCTCACAACACACCGGCCTTCCCTCTGAACTTCAGCCCTCTTAAAGACACACTTGCACAAATCTTGAGGGGTTTGAAGAGGCCAATTCCTTCATCTCCCTTCCCTCTATCCAGTTCAACCCATACAGTCTCAACTGAAATCTGTAAATGTAGGAAACCCCAAAGTCCTCAGGCTATTTTTATAAAGAACATGTTACCTATAGATGTGTGTATGTCTCTGTGACTAAGGAGCCCAATTTAACATATTTTTGTGCAACCCTTAAGAATTCAATCTGTGGGAGACACAATTATAGAAAATGATATAGGACAGAGAGAGTAGGCAAAAGAGGATGGCATTCAGGTTTTAAAGTGAAAATTGATTAATGATCAGGTTGCTTCTTTCAAGGAATTAAGTGGCATTATGGTGCAAAGTTACAACCAATATTCTAATACATCAATCCTTCTATCATATGAATCGGAATCCAAAGGTTCCACAACACACAGGTTCATAATTTTATTCTAACACAAAGTACATATTTTCTTGATGACTGTGCAGTGAGCACCTTTGAACTATTTAATGATTTGAGACTCCTGAAAAATGATTCAAACACTTGGTAGTTATTTTAGAAACATCTTCTGCCAAAGGCTAATTTCCATTTTTCTTTCAACTAGCTAGAGTAAGAGCAGTAATCACAAAGAAAAAAAAATCAAGCACATATCTATGGAAATGTTCTAGTGTAGTGAAGGTCTTGAATGAGATTAAATCATTCAAAATTTAAAGGTTGAGGCTTTTTAAAATCAGATTGAGATACTGTTCCATTTTTGTTTGAGATCTCAAAATAATCATGTTATAACTGATTCAAGGAAACTCTTCACAGAAATAACTGCCCCTCTTTTCATATAATTTCTAAAGCCAAACAACAACAAAACCGAAACAAAACAAAACAAAAAAAACACCAAAAAACATGCATGCTAAGCTATACACACTCTTTTCACTAGTCTACAAAAAAGTTCACAAAATGAAGGTAAAAGCGCAATGCAGAAATTGGTCAAAAACATATTATGTAACTTAATGCTAGCATAAAGGAAATCACATAATCAGCCATTTCAGAACTGCTGCTAATTATCCCTGCTTCGACTTTCATTGTTTGAACTTCATCTCCTGTGACCCAGAACTGGAGTTGGAACTCCTTCATGAGTGGCAATTTGCCACTGCCCAGTGATGTCATTTCCTCTACATTAGTATAAGTTAGGCAAGGGGATTTTGTTTTGTGTTATTTGGACATATAGTGGGATGTGGGAAGTGAAAAGGGAAAATGAAAAACTAAAAGGCTTCATAAATCCTGCTCCTAGCTCCCCCATAAGTGGTTAGCATGATTATAATTAGCAAGATTAATATGTGGGATTGAGAATAAAGCCTTCACTGAATGTGGGGATCAGAAAGTTGAGTTCCTTCTCTCTCACCTTTTCCCTGCCCCTCACCCTGAAGTTATCATCTCCTGAGAGACATGGGATTCTGCTGAATAAGGTGGCATGCAACGAGGCAGAGTCAGTATTGAGGTGGGGACATGTCTCACTTCATTCATGAAAGGTGTAAATGCCCACCTTCTATGTTTCCCATCAGTCCCACCACGCAACTGTCCACTTGACTTGGTAGGAGAGGGCTTAGGATTAGGGACTGGGAGAGAAGAGAAAAAGAAAGTCACTTTCTGCCCACCACTTTGCCTTGGATCCAGAAGAGAGATATTCTTTATTCACATCCACATGAGCTGTAAATTTCACGTGGATATTGCCCTTCAAATATTTTTATTGTGCCAAAAACTGTGGTTCCATTTATTAAATATTTGGACAATCAAACCGATTTTAAGAACACTTTCCACCCCTTTCTCCAGTATCTGTTTTCTGTTCATTTTAGAATTATAAGCCCCTGTAAGGCTGCCATTTTTTTTATTTTTTTGTAATTCAAATTATAACAGCAACAAATGAAGATGGGTCATTACTAATACACAAAGTTAAAATAATTCATTTTAACACTCCTGATAAGTGAAGTCTATGTCTGAAAGATTATCAGCAGGAAGACTTAAATAAAGTGTGTGCGCATACACACAACACTGACAAACATGAAAGAAGAGCATTCAAATGTCAAAACCAAGTGGTTTTAGATAGGAGAAAAATCCAATATAAATGATGTATATTTCAAGAGGATCACTGATGAATATTCAGTGAATAAGTATATTGTGAAGGGCAATACTGCATTCTTACCTGATATTGAGCCATTAGGGCCAGGGGATTGTTTTGGCTGTTATCAAATGTTAATACATCAAAGACTCCAACGCAGTTCACTCGTAACCTTGAGAACAGAAGCATTATAGGAAAGAGAAGTTTTAAAACTCCTCTGGCTTCCTGTTAGATTCACTATATAACTTCTAGAGATACATCAGTAATATTCTCTGTAAATAAACTGGTGTTAATCACAATTGTTTATCAAACTGTGAGGGTGTATACACACAAACACATATTACAATTCAAAGTTGCTTGAAAGTGCTTTATACTGTTTTAATGGACTTGAATTGTTTTAGCTTCTTTTAATGTGGTTTCATTGAATGCAATTAATGTGAGCTTACTGACTGTATCCTGCTCTGAGAACTGTTTAAAAAAAACACTCTGACAAGTAAATTACTTTGGGAAATCACTTTCCAACTTTGCAACAAAATGAAATGGGATATATAGATATATAGATAACTTTCAAGGTGACAATAGCATTATTAGATAGATAATAAACTTTCAAAGTATTGATTACATAAACATTTGGCATTAATCATACAGTGTACACTATTCAGTTCCCATTTGAGACCAGTCACACATATCATTGATGAGTCAAAGCCCTTTAGGCAATAATATGTTCCTCTTCAAGGCATTGGGTGGCAGACCTGGGCTCACTTGCAGACACCTCCTCCAAAACCTCAAACAACTACTGACATAACAGGCCACTCAACATGGGAACCAAGATAAAGCAAAGCAAAGTGTGCTCTTATATACCCCCCCCATAGTGCTTCAAGCACTCTCTGGGCGGTTTACAAGTTAATTATGCAGGCTACACATTGCCCCCCCCCCGCAAGCTGGGTGCTCATTTTACCGAACTCGGAAGGATAGAAGGCTGAGTCAACCTTGAGCCGCTACCTGGGATTGAACCCCAGGTCATGAGCACAGTTTTGGCTGCAGTACAGCAGTTTAACCACATTTACTTTGCCCATTACTGGTCTCAACGTCACCCACAACATCATTTACTCATTCATCTTCCAATGTAACACGCGCCATGTTTTGCCAGTAACAACTCTCTGTATTCTATATAGCATAGACAGGACAACCTTTCTACAAGAGAATAAATGGACAGAAACCTGACATCAGAAATGGCAACATACAGAAGCCAATGTCAGAATATTTCTACCGTACCTCTCAGAACACTGTGACAGTGATCTTGGAAGTGATATTTTAATTTTTTTTAAAAGGTTGCAAAGGGTGATATCAGAAGAAAACAGCAGAACTATGTTGTATTGATGAATTCCAAAGTATCAAGAGGCTTACAGACTAGGGCATTTCGGCCCAGCTGCTAAATGCAAGTATACCAAGAGGCTTAAATAGAGACTGCATCGGTTTAGCATATTATGGCTGGAATCCTATAGACATCATCAGCCTTACGCATGTGGAGTTACACCAACAGGATTCTGGACAATATATGCTAATAATGTGGTTAAAAATAGTTTTCTTTGTAATCTGTTATATAGCCAAAACATTGTTTTCTTTGCCAAAACCCTGGCCTTAACATAACCAACTCCTTTCTGAAAGCAAGTCATCACACAGGCGTCAAAAATATTAATGAATGTAAATTATTGTTAACATGACTGTTGTATACCAGCCAACAAATAATTTATATTAACTAATTACTTTAAATAATGCTATGTTTATGTAATCAACACTTTTAAGATCACTTCCTGTGTCTATGTCCTGTTTCACTTGTTTCTCACCTCTGTAATCCTTGTATATAAACCAGTAGCTTAAGTATGTACTGTATTGTGTTTCATGTGTTTGAGGGAGTGGACTGTGAGCCATGTAAAGCCACCCAGAAATAAATCTATTACTCTTAAAAGGTGCAACAATACTCAACATTTATTATATACATCGACTGGTAGCTTGAATCAAGACAGAAAATAGACTGGTCTCATTTCTATCTCCTGCACTCAGTCATTAAACAAGGGTGGGAAAAAAGATCATTTGCTCCAAATCTCACAAATAGGCAGGGGAAACTCAGATTGAAAAGGTGGTGAGGAAATGGGGGCTAAATAAGTATTCACAACCCTCCAGCCACTTTCCAATCCCATAAACTTAATTAAGGTGATATCATATCGGCATTACTTCTCAGTCCAAAGGCTACTACAAATTTCTATATACAAGTGACTTCACTGTTGGTAGTGTAATAGCAAAATAGGTTACCTTGTTTTGCCAGTTACCAGAATCTTTGTGGGGTCCATTACTCTGCAGGCCAGTCCTGCTGTATGAATGGTCCGCAGTGCAGAGCTGAGCTGCACTATGTAGGCCCAAATCAGGGATTCTGGTAACAACCCTGCATGTTGCCGGGGCAGAGGTCCATCATGCTGACCTAGCAGCAGAATTGAAAGAACAAGTTAGTTTCGTATTTTCAGCCTTATAAAACTTTGATTAGTGCATATATTTCTTTAATGTTGTTTTTAAAAAAACCCACAAAAACCCTACTTTGTTTCAAAGCAATATCAAAAATCTGTTACAATGCAAAGTAAATGAAACTGACAAATAATAATAAACTGCTTATCATGACTGTAACCAACATTTTTGAATGTACTGATAATTTAAAACTATAGCTGGACTTAACGAGGGTCCAGTCCCTGCATCCGGCAGTGGCGGCAGCCCTCGTCAGGCTTCCAGTCTCTCCAAGAGGGCCGCACTCTTTCCACTCATCTAGCCAACTCCAGGCAGAGGGAAAGAGGACAGCGGCCAAGTGACCAGATGAGCGGAAAGAGAGAGACGCTCTGGGAGTGACTGGAAGGCTGACTGAGGCTGCCATAGCCGCCACCGCTGGATGCATGAATGGCCGGTCCAGCCGTAGGGGCCAGACCCTCATTAAATCCAGCTGTGGGGAGGTAGCTGTATTGATATACATATACCGCCATCTTTATTTAAAACTAATACAGACTATACAGTGGTGGTGCTTTATTATACCTTTAGAATTTCTTATTATATACCGTATTTGCCGGTGTACAAGGTGACTGGGCGTATTAGACGACCCCCCAACATTTCCACTCAAAATATAGAGTGGACGGCTCTGCTGCGGCGCCGGCAGCAGCTGTCTGGGGCTCTGCCCGGGCCCGCCCTGGAAGTTCATGGCCAGCGACGAGGAGGGCAAGAAAAAAAGGGAAGGAAGTGGGTGGGCGGGCAGGTGGCGGAGGAGGAGGAGGAGGAGGGGAAGGAGAAGCAGCTCTCCAGTGGCACGCGGGCAAGCTGGCTCAGCTGCAAGGAGGGCAAGAAGGAAAGGGAAGTGGGCGCGGTGGAGGACGGGAAGGAGAAGCAGCTCTCCGGTGGTGTGCGGGCGAGCGGGTGAGCTGGCTCAGCGGCGCGGGGCAGCAGGCTCTGGCCGCTCAGGCATGCCCTGCTCTGCTTCCCTCCCTCCGTCCGGACCGACCACCTGCCTGCCTTCCTCTCCGGCCGGCGCAGCCCCGCGTCACTCTTCCTGGTCCAAATGAAGTGTACCCGGCGTACAAGATGACCCCCCCACTTGGAGGCATGTTTTTTGGGCCAAAAAAGTCATCTTGTACGCCGGCAAATACGGTATGTAAAATGCCAAGAGTAAAATGGGGCCTTGAAATGTTTCATTATATCATAATCTGAAAGTTGCTCTTGCTCTAATTCATTAAACAGCTTGTTCACCAAAGAGCAATGTCTTTTCCCAAATGACAGTATGGGCTTCAAATATAACTATTACCAGAACAGTGAAAACCAAATACTAATCACCAGAACATAACTCCCATCCCACTTTGCTAAAACTGCTATCTATAGAATGCCACATTATTCAATTACGTCTGCTCAGTTTCAATGCCTGCCACTACCTGTAAGTTGCATCTGGAGACAATGAGTAATCCAAAAGCCTTTTTGCAGTTCCGAAGAGCTCCTGAAAGTCTACCAGTGGTAATTTTTAAAATTCTTTTTCTTAAATGAAAATTGTTCAGTCCTTTGCTCCAAGGGCAGGAGTACTGGTTTCAGGGAATAAGGCCCCCGTTACTCCAAAACAATTTTTTTAAAGGAAGTCTCCATAATGGCACCTCCTGCTTACTTCTTTCCCACTAACAGGGCCCCAAAGAATAATTTCTGGGGTGTGTGTGGCCCACAGAGTAGGCTGAGGACACCCATTCGGTCCTCTCATGCCACCTGCACTTCATCACCTCTCAGCAAAATAGTTGTTAAAATGCAGTATAGCAGTCATGCCTCTGCTCACAACTTGAGTTCAATCCCAATGGTTTCAGGTAGCCGGCTCAAGTCTGATTCAGTCTTTCATCCTTCCAAGGTTTATTTATTTATTTATTTATTGGATTTCTATCCCGCTCATCTAGACCAAAGGTCTACTCTGGGTGGTTGCCAAAGGTCGCTGAAGGTTGCTTAAAAACCTAGTTTGCCTGGAGAGTGGTGGGTTTGCCAAAATGTAGTTTGCATCATTATGTTATAAACTGCCCAGCGAGTGCTTTAGCACTATGAGCCTATATACAAGTCAAAACAACATTTATGCTCACAGTAAGTGACTAAATATTTATTTATTTATTTATTTATTTTATTTGATTTGATTTATATCCCGCCCATCTGATAAATCTATACCACTCTGAGCGGCTCTTCACAGAGGACAATTGCAAGTCATAATTCTTATCTTTTATGTCTTGCCTGTGAATTTATGAACTAAGATGCTGGACTAGATCAGGATGGGCAACTTATATCCCTAAGGTTAATGGTGCCCTTCTTCTAACCACAAGTAAGACCCCTGAATGCTCTCTGCAGCATATCAGGATTCTGCAACAGACAGCTTTCCCTTTTCCAGTAGACTGCAAGATCCACTGCTAGCTTACAACCCGGTCACTGCCAAAGTGACACCCCTGAGAGATCACTTGCAAGGAAAAAGTGTTGCCACATTTGGATTAGAGGGGACTACTGGATTGATTGAGCATGTTCTTATGTACTGAGCAAACAGCAATAAACATATATACGCTTACACGGAGAAAATACTAATATTTATATATTAATTTTACTTATTTTGTCTCATTTGTAGGCCACCTTTCTCCCAAAAAGAGGACTCAAGGAGTCTCACAACATTAAAACAAGCAAAATTAAAAATACAACAAATAACACATTAAAAACAATTAAACTACACCTCCCTTGAATTGCACAGGTTTTAATGGCACAGTTTTGATTATATGCATTTTTTTTCCCTAATCAATCTATCAATAATCAATTGATATTGTGGCCCTCACCATCCAGAACCCCATGAGTTCAACAATGAAGGTGACAAAAGTAGTCTACTTGTCCACAAACACAACATCTCTAATTCAGTCTCTAGACCTGGGTGGTGGTGGTGGTGGTATGGACCTTTTAAGGCTCATTACACATGGTACTGTCAATGATATGAAAGAGAACCCTGATACAGAGAACTATTCTGTATGTTTATGTGTGAGTAAATCAACTGTTTGTGCTTTGTAGTTACAGTTATAAGAGTGTAAGAGTTATATACAGATTTTGAACTACATGGGGGTGTCCAGCAACCCTAACCCTAGCATTGCTGAAAGGCAGAAGTGTACATTAATAATTAAAAATACATCAATATTTTAAATTTTAAAAAACAAATGAAACAAGCTAAAAAAGCAAAAGTCAGCATCCAGGGACTCAATTAAAAGCCTGTCTGAAGATGTGGGTCTTTCATTGTTGGAAAAAGAATAAAAGGAGGGGGGCTAAAATAAGTTCCCAAGGGAAATAACTCCACAGTGAGAGCAGCCATAGATTCTCGGGTCACCCTCTTTCGTGTCCAAATCAAATGTGCCTGAGAGGGCAATGAGATTGAGAGGAAGGCCTCTTTTGAAGATCTTAAGAACTGGGAAGGACCATATGAAGATATATGGTCCTTCAGATATTATTTACACTTATACTATCAGGTACAAGAAATGTTTTGCATTCAGCAACTCCAGTTTAAGAAAAAGGAGTCCGACTACATTGACCCTAATTCAGAGACATGCCTCAAAAAGGGAAGCAAATACACAAGACTGATTTATGATTCGGGGGTAGGCTCTGCTACCTCCAATCCCAAAGGCTTCCCTAGGGCAAAAGGACCCTCAGAACCTGAAATGGGTGTGTGCGGAATAGGAAAACTTAAATCCATTTAAATTAAATATTACCAGCACTAGATGATGACATCATTGGGTCTGTGCAGAATTATGTGAACTGGATTTGGGCCCATGAATCAAACTCTTCACTGAGGAATTAATGTACTTCCGATAAGCGTATTTGGAACTAATAAATCTAATGCATCGCAGCTATCATATATAAATTCACACAGTTTTGGAACTATAAAGAGCAGCATATGTATATGATTTCTGACAAAAGAGATTGATATTGGCATTGATATTTAGGAATTTTTGCGTTTATAGAACAATACATGGTGAAACTGAAACTTACAAAAAATATCTTGAGATGTGATTTATAGTTTCATTATCATGCACATTTCCCTTGACAGAAATTTGGCAATATTACACTGAGAGACAATTTCCTACAAACAGCTTGTTTTTAAAAATGTAATTGGGGTTTTGCTGCAAATATTGTTTAAAGAAAACATAGTATGTAGTGAAAACTTGCTCTACATTTTCAAACTGCCCACCTGCTCACTGTGCTTTTCTTTGAGCAGTTTTGCCAGCAATCACCCAAAACATTTTAAAAAACTCTACAGAGTTTTAGAAGTTTGTCATGCTGGCATGAGGGTGTTTAAGTAAATATCATCCCTACAATTCAGGCAGGGCAAACAGAAGCGCATGCAACATGCCTCTGAAATATATTCAGAAAAAGCATGCCCTGAACAATAATTCTAACTTTTTGTTTGATAAAATAGAAACACTGGCTACTTTAGGGAACATCATGCAAAATTAGAGAATATATTTTGTGACTATAAACCAGTGGAGGGGTGACTATTATAGCAATTTCCTGTGTCGGGCTCAGACTACCCTAGAAAGCCTACGCTGACCTTCCTCCTCAATGTGAATTTGTACCTGCTTGTGTGTGTGCTCTGCCTTCTCACTACTGTGCTTTCTACTCAGCCAACTACATTGGCCATCATCTAATAAGACATGGCAGCATATAAATCAAGCCCTTAATCTACAACGTACCCAGAGGTAAAGAAGTTCGCACCATTACCAGTTCACTGGTAACGGTGCGGCTAAAAAATATTGTAAATAAACAAACAAACAAACAAACAAATAGTGTGAAATGAGAAGTCCATCTACAGATTAGTAGGTGGTAGTTTAGTTTGCCCTTCTCTCACACACACAGATACAACCTGCCCCTTATTTTTTGTGACTAAGGCTTTTGTTCTTGTTTTTGTTCTTATTTGGAAGCAAACAACTTCCTGCTCTAAGCAACAAGGGCAGGCACACTGAGGGGAAACTTATATTGTCTGAGTGCCTAAATATTAAAGTGTGTGCGCGAGGGGGGGGGAATTCATCCAGTAGTTTACTAGCAAACTTCACCTTAACCGTGTACCTGACAGAAGTCACTTTTTTTAAATAAACGTGATAAAGACAACACACACAAGTTGTTTCTGAAATATTTGTGTGTTGTTGTTTAGTCGTTAAGTTGTGTCCGACTCTTCGTGACCCTATGGACCAGACCACACCAGGGCTTTTTGATATTACAGTGAATTTTGTAACAATACATTTTGGTTGAGTCTCAGAATGGATTGCTGGCTGAATCTGAAATGTAAAAGAACTGATGCTATTGATGAGAGTACATCCTGTTCAAAGCATAATGAAGCCATTATAGCAAGGAATATCTGTCAATGAGACCCTTCATGAGAAACATTAAATAAATATTTCATGTACTTTAGGATTTAAATTCTTGAGTTAAGTCTTGGTGCTCTGCAGCAAAAAAAAAAAGATATTTAAAGAGGGTCCGTGGTAAAGAAAGGTTTAAGAATCATGGTCTAGTTTAACCATTCTCAGTGGGTACCATATGCCATACTTAAAGAGGGTCACAGATTTTAAAAATGTGAGAAGCTTCTGAAAGGTTACTGTTTGTGTTGTATCCTTCTTTGACAGTGGCCCTGAAACCTGAGAAGCTCCTAACAGGGCCATGGCCAAAAAAGGTTGAGAATGGCTGGTTTAGATTTTTCAAGCCAGGAATGTTCTTCTTTTTTAACCTGGATGACTGTACAGTTAATCAAACAGCAACTATGCTATGAATTTGGGAGTGTTCAATGGTGATTCCCATTCATTGGTGCCCACACAGCAATACCATTCAGACAAACTCTTCTATTGAACCTATTTCAAACTAGAATTAAAAAAAGAATTAAAGAAAGAGATCACTGCACATCCCTAGGAACAAACATAGGTAATTGAGAAAGAATTCTATTAACCAGGAAGCAGTCAAGTTCACATGTGTTCAAGTATAAAAATAAACCAAAATTGTTATGAGATAAATTCTCAGAAGAAAATGTTGCACCACATCCTTGACAACAGAATTCTGGGATGTGTTGGCAAATGACAATACAGACTGGAAAAAAAAATCTAACCACACTGTGACAACAGAACACAGCACATAAAACCAGCCATGTAACCACAATTGCCTTCCTTCAACTGCTAGATGGCAATCTTACGAACAACAGATCAAGCTTTTTCAATTATGAGTTCTCTGAGCACACACTATGTACTTTATTAGGAAGATTCATATCACAATAGTCATAGAATTAAATTTCCAGGCTTGGCTTTCAGCACTTGGATTTAGTGCCTGCATTGGGAATCAAATTCAAATGTCAAACTAATATCTGGTTAATGAAAGATACAGACTTCAGTTTGTAAGACCTGAGCAAGGCTGTTAATGACAGAAGGTTTTGGAGATCATTAATTTACTGGGTCACATAAGTTGGAAATGACATGATGACACACAACAGATGAAACTGTCAGTTGGTGAATGGCTGAGTGAATCCTGTAATAAGACCACTTTCTACAAATTAAAAAGCTTTGAGCTGCCAAATGCATGCTAAAAAGACACGAGCAAGTTACAATTTTTTTCTACACTCTTTCAAAAAAAGAATCTTCTATTTCACTAAGTGTCAACTTTAGTCAGAGCTTAGAATGTTAGGTTAAAGAAAGAATTAGCTAAAGTTATATGCAGGAATTAGCATATTGCTATTAACTTTTTAACTAGAAAACTTTTAACTTGTTAGATTAGCATATTTTATCTTATGTGCCATCAAGTTGCTTCTGACTCACTGCAACACTAACAGGGATTTTCCAGGGTATGTGACATGTTCAAGGTGAACTATTGTCAGCCACCAGTGAGTTTCCATGACTGAGTAAGGATTTGAACCCGTGTCCTGAATTCTAGTACAATACACTGGATCTTAAATTAGTTAAAATTAGCATTATTAAAACCTGAGTTTTTTAAACTCAGATCCTAGGCAGCTATTGAGGTTATAGTGAATCTTTTCTTACTACATCCAAATCAGTTCAAAATCAATGTCCCACAAATGAAAAAGAAAAGAAAGGGCCTCAGTTTTCTATGGATAGAATTTGAAAAGTAATGCTATTTGAAGCAAAATCATGATGCATCAGTTTTTGTGCAAAATGACCTGCAGGTCTATACACATTGCAAAAGAAGGTATATTCTACAGACCTAGCTAAGCTGTGCAGCCCACAGGTGCCCTCAAATTTGCCTTCTGAATGAAAAAATAAAATGAAATACTGTAATTAATAAGACCGAACAGCAAATTTTGCTGGTATAAAAAACAAATGATGATTATAGCTACCAATAGCCTTCACACTAGCATAGGGAACAGATCCCCATCAACCATGCTGCCTGGTGTCTGATGCAAACCAGGGAAAGACAGGATTAACCACATGGATGTAGGCCACTTTGTGGCCCTGCCTGTCTCCCAAAGAGCGAGGGGGGGTGACAATGGTTTTTAAATTCCCACATTGGCCAAATGTGACATCCCAAGTCCACCAAGAAAAATGCTCCTGCCCTGCTGGCTGTCCTAAATTGGCTGCATTTAACCAAGGGTGGGAGCAGCTCCATGGAGACACCTGGGAGGAAAGAGTGCTGCCATGATGGTGTAGGCTTCACTATCCCTCCCCAAAGCCACCACTGCTGACAAGACACAGCTCCCAGGTGAGTTCTGGATCACTGCTTAGGATGACAAGCACTAGGTCACTGTACTGAAAGTTGAAATGCTACTTTACAACTATGCAAACTCTTCAGAAATAAGAGGAAAAATAAAACACACAGAAGGAAGGGCTCGCAGTCTAAGAGCCGTCTGCTACAGAATCAACTTGTTCTTAGCCTCCTTCTAGAACTGGATATGAGCAAGAATACAAGCTTTATTATGAGCCTGATGTGAATGCAGCACAACTACAGAATAAAACTTTCTGAATTTCTGTTGTTTCTAATTCTGGCCTACTGGAAAAAAAAGAGTTACAGGTCTCATTTGCTGGCCTTACCCCACTTCCTTTTTGTGAAATAGGCATCAGCACTAGGATCGTTGAAATGTCTGCTCATCATAGTCTCTCCTCCAGCGTGGAAGTCATATGCAAACACAAGAGCTTTTTAAAAAGAGTCCGAGGTGAGAGTTAGGTATGCAATTGATGCAAATCTTCCAATACAACTGGCCAACATCTTAAAAATCAGAAACTTACAATGCTCCCCAAATGCTTTAGTGGTGAATACTTCTCGCAAGGTTACGATATTTGAGTGCTGTATTTTTTTCCACATGTCAACCAACACCATGCATTTTGTGTTAACAAGACGAAAACCTGAGAAAGAGAAAGTCTTTCATACTTTAAAGATTCACACTTTTAATAGAATTTTCAGAATTTGGTTCAAAATACTGAGCTGCCACCAACAGAGACACACCAAAACAAAATTTATTTATTTGCTCATAACCTATTCCATTGATGGTTAGTTGGGCCAAATTTCTGTTCTTTATTTCAAAGGAATGATTCAATTTGAAATCAATTTGTGATTTATACACAATAAAACACAAGTGTTTTAAGACTTAAGTACTGATAGCAAAGAAATTTTAAAAGATGACAACTTAGGATTTCCCTCACCATGTATCCTCCGAAGGCAATATGGCAGATCATCTTTGCTATTTACAGCTTTGTAGCATGATGTTATGTACCCAAAGTTGCTTGTTTTCTGTATCCGATTGGGTGGTGGCAGTGGTTCTAAAGGGAAAAGGCTGTGGTAGCTGTCAACTTCTGTTGGAACAGCTAAACCAGTTTACAGAAATATATTAGATACTACTTTAAATTATGAAGAAAACAGTTACTACAGACATAAAGAAGATCAATTAGAAGTCAACACACACACTGTTTAGAAGACTGCAACAAAGTTAAAAGTTCAGGACAGCCTTGTTGCAACTTATAAACCACTTTTCCACACTATGCTTATTTGCTTTAGGAAAGACACAAATTGCAGTATTAAAGAAAAAATGTTAGTGCAGATGCGCAAGATCCTGATTAGCTATTTTATAAAGATGGCAGAAAAGAGTGTATTCAATCAGTATTAATCATAAAAGGAGAGCCTTACATCAAGCAGCCAAATATCTTAAAGTTCACACCTAAGAGTAAAACTTTGTAGGATACTTGTGAAAGCTCTGTTCTACTTAAACAAGTTTTACACAAATATTTAAAACCCTTGCTTGCTATATTTAATGACCCAGGTTTTTGTTGCACTGAATTAGAAAAATTGAGAACTGACAGAATCTTTTGTATAGACACATCGGCCGGAACCATACTGGGGATTTATGCTGGCATAAATATAAGTGCATAAATTGAACTGGTGAACTACCACTAACTAAAAAGTTGCCACTTCTATTCCTGGTCACATGACCAGGAATATGAGTGGCAACTTGCTAATTAACTATCATTCACGACTGCAATACATGCAGTTATACTTGTGCCCGCACAGATCCCCAACATGACTCTGGCCACTGTTACTACACCCTCTCTTTCAACCAACATCATACTCTCTAGCTGCCTGTTCTAGTCTTTCCAGATCTGGAATGTCAGCCTAGCTGCCACATCATTCTGCTAGCAGTTTTATACAGCAGAAGCTATCCAAAGACTCCAGAAAGGTCAGAGGCAGACAGCTGAGGGTGGAGGCACTGCACTTCACCATAAACTGAATTCTTAATTCCTGCTTGGCAAACAGTCCCTGCCACTTCACAGGCGGGACAAGAATGAGACTCAAACATACACTTTCTTAAGCAGATCCCTATTTAGTTACAAATTAAATGCATCACAATCCACCATTTTAGACACATGGCTACAATTTTATAGGCACAATGGGCATAGTTACAGAGATGGAACCAGAGTGAAATGGACTGTAAATCATAAAACTTTATACAAAAATGTATCTTGGTCTTAAAGATGTCACAATATTACTTTTATTTTTGGTCTGTTTATACTGAAACAGGCTAACACTGCCACCTCTCTGAAAGATTCTAGAATTCAGCAAGCATCTTTGTAACTGGAATGTTCATTGCCACAAACAGAACTCAAGCATGCACTTTAAGAAATCAGTTATTTTACATACAGCAGTTGAAATGCTATTGCTCTGCAGAGTGAGTAGGCCCATTAAATCAGCTGGGATTTGGTGAATCAACTCAGCTGTATATTCCTCTGATTCAAATACTGTACACCTATTTTTAGTTGTGACTTACTATGCTAAGCAACAGGATTTCAACCACTTAAAAGTTTTGTTTGTACTTGAATCTAGAAATTTATTTGAAAATTAAGCTGTAGGACATTCACTCCATATGGCTGATTTCTAAAAACAGAGCTGCAGTCCAGAGAGTTCCTTTTCTGAGGTCTGAGCTAGTTTTTTCATTCCACTTTACCTTTGAAATTCTCCTAATTATTGAATTTCAGGTATACATCGAGACAACATCTATTCCAAAAGACCACTACACTTGGAGAGTTAAAGTGCTCTGGTTCTGCAGCCAAAGAAGCTAGGCCTTTTCACATCTTGCCTGTTTACTGAAGATATTTACTTAAGTTTCAGGTTATGTTACTGTCATTGTGAATATTAAACTGCCATGGCTAAGAAATATTCTCCAGTTAACTGGTTTAGAAAGCTTTCTTAATGATTTGTGGTGGTCCTGATGCATTTGGTCTAGCAGTTTTACACTTTAATAAACAAGTATCAGGCAGCACCAATGAAAAACAGGCCCACTGTATCACAGTGCAACAACCAAAATCCTACTGGTTATTTACAATGATAAACAAGTCGTAAAGTCCAGTTGCATCACATGCAATGGTGAATTGTTGATAGTTAAATAGTTGCTGCTTATATTCCTTGCTGCATGCTAAACTCGGTATAAATCCGTGATTTATGTCACTACACTTATGCCGGCATAAATAACCAACTGATTTCCGGCCTTTATTCTGTGACAAGAGCAAAAAAAAAAAAAATCCAGCTAACTTCTTTGAAACTTTCACAGGATGTTTTGTAGCCGTAGGCTGGGGAGCCTTGACACATATAGTTCAGATTTTCACTTGATCCTAAATCTACCAGTTTTGTTTCAATATGCCTTTAACAATTATATGACTAATTTAGTAGAGTTACAGAGCTGAAAGCAAGCTAAACAACAGTTTAGATGTGCAATTTAAATCAGGCATGTTTAATTACTTACCAGGCATATCTGCTTGATCTATCTGAGCCATTGTAATTAAGTGTCTGTTAATCAGCTCCTATAAAGAATAAATGTTGCATTCTTACCGATAAAAACACAAAACTCTAATTTGCTTTTTCTTATATCTGGCTTTGGCAAACTGTAGCAACAGCCTTAAATAGAAGGATCTAACTTTGGATCTGTAGATTCTTGACAATGCCTGGCAAAGTGACATTAAAAAGCCCATATACAGCTATTCAAACTTTCTGTCTCAGGGATAGAATTCAACTGTGAATCCATAGCTTCTACTATGTGGCAAACCTGCTTTTGAAAGAATTCCCCTGGAAATTCTGCCACATTTCAAAGAATCCAATTTCACTACATTTAACTTTTGAATTACCTTTCCTGGTGTCCAGTCCAAATCTTTTGGGTCACAATATAACCCCATAATTTCCTTCCTGGAATTTTGGTAGTTAATCCCGTTTGCCTCATTTACCTAAAGATATTCCACCTTTTTCCTCAGTGCTCGAACATAACTCCTTCAGATCTTCCATCATATACTACTCACTAGATCAATCTTGTATTTAGCTACAGTATTCACTTGATCACTATAGACAAAAATGGTATCCAGGTGAGTGTGCAGCCACTGAAAGGGGAGGGACACAGAGTGTCTCTCCTTCACCTCTCTATTCCTCCTGTACTCAAACCCTCTTAGGAGTAAAACAGGAGGGAAGAAATGTTAGCTTTCAAGATGTTTTGGACTTCTACATACGTAAATAATCCCTTACTGCTGACTATGAGGAATGAAACCCAATCACATGGAGTATCAAAGCTTCCCTCTTCTTGAGAGTACAGAGAAGTCTGTTAACTTTTACGGGACTTCTTACACAGCCACACAGTAATTAGAATAATGTTATTGCTTTTTGAATAGTTTAAATATGTACTGAATGTGGTACACTAAAGGCCTCCTCTAAAGCAGAGTGTAGTGATGAACCACCTCTTGTCTCCTCTACAGTTAGTTTCCTAATGTTTCCCAGCACGGGTGCTACTTAATTTTCTTACAATCCTGGAAAAAGAGATTCAGCTTGTTTTTAAGAAACTGCTTCAAATGCTTTTCTTGGGCAGCAATTTGCTAAACATAAAGAATAATCTTCCTCATCCTCATCAAGATTCAACTTATCACTCCAGTTTATTCCCTGAATTCTAAGCCACTTTTTCCAAGTGCTTAAATCTACATGTCAGGCAAGGCTTGATACAATAGAAATAATTTAAGATTCATAAATAAGACAAAGAAGAAAAAATGCAAATGCGCAGGCAGAGTTCTGATATTTCAAATAATCACAGCACACACACACACCCAAAACAATAAGAGATATTAAAAAAGAAGGCAGGTTTCTTTAAGAAAGTTTGTGTGGCCTTCCAAAGAAATCCACAAAAAAGTGCTGCTATAAACAGATTCATTGTGTGCTCTTCCATCACTGTGTATTGAGCAAACCTTAAAAATCAGACTTGTTAGACACGTAACTGTCTTACTCCTTCATAGCCTGTACATGACAGCAACACAACATCACAATCTTTTCAGTTTTAACATACGTGTTGGATTTGTTAACTTCCTCACAAATACAAGTCACTGGCTTTATGGTGCAGTGTTATGCACAGCTGTATGGATTGTTTGAACAGAAAGGCAGTACAAATAATACATGAATAAAATCTACCACTATTATTCTATATTACTTTTTTAAACCTACCTGTCTGAGTTCATCTGCCATAAAGAAGGAAGGTGCATTAGCTTTTGGCTGCATGTAAGCAACATGAGGTGCAGTAGGAGGATAAATGTGGTAATTTGGGAATACCTATGAAAAATAAAATCAGAAGCAAACTGTTTTTAAAATCTGGAAAGTTAACAGAGTTACCAGGTCTCCTCAAAGTGCTTGATATGGGGGATAACAAACAAACAAGCTATTTAGACATTATATAGTCCTTAAAAATGGTAGATTTGATTCTTATTCTGAATGGCTGCTTCTAGCAAGACCAGCTATAACCACAGATACAACTTCAGGGAAGTTATCAAAGTTTGAGAGAATTTTTTTTTGACAATTATGCATTTCTATGGAAAGTGTACAAACTTCAGAAGAGGGATAACAGGACAAAGCAAAATGCACGAGGAATCTAAATGCATTGTAAGGCCACATAAAACAATCTTAGTAACTGCCTAATCTCACATGACTCTACCAGGTTCAGAGGCCTTTCTGAGGACATGTTCAATCTGAGGTGAGTCAGGTCATGTCTAGTAAAAGGGTCTCTGTCATGATAACACCCATTAATAAAACTCCACTGAAAAGCAGACATGGTGCAAAGATTTTTATTTACTCAAACTTTGAATGTAGGAATAGGAAAAATGTAGAGGGCCAGTGTGGTGTAGGGGACAGAGTGGCAGACTAAGATATAGGAGAGTTGGGTTCAAATCCCCACTTGGCCATAAAAGCTCACTGGGTGAAATAATGTTGCTTGGTGCAGTGAGCAGGCCCATGCAATCAATGGAATTTACAGAGGAGTTGACTTACCAAATCCCAACTGATTCAATAAGCCTACTCTAGTCACAACCTATTACACTAAGCAACTGGATTTCAGACACTGGGGGTGGGTGAGAATGGTAAAATCACTCTTTAAATAGCTCACATATCTTGAAAACCTTATTAGAGTTCTTAAGATGTGACTTGACGGTACATAAAATAGGCAAAATATTATTTTCCACTGACAGTTTATAGCTGTGCAAGTGAAAGTCTGCAGCAACATAAACAATTTGTTTTTCAAAGCAAATTACAATACTACCAAACTGTAGTCATGCAAAAGCAGGACACAATGATTTCACTCTGAAACAAGGACTGGAAGGAGCAAGGACCTGGTTTCCAAACCAAACCATGCTGTCATGCAAGCTGGACATATGTTGGAAAAAGGTCTCCACTGTTTCCCAAAGTGATATAGCTGTCATTTGCTGCTGTTGCTGCACTATCAAAGTTTGGTCATGCCCTCTGTCAGAGCTAACCATTCATATTTTATATCTTGCATCTACTTTTAGTTGAAACCACTGGTGACTTCTCAACTTAAGCATTTATTTTTAATGTTATATCATTAAGTCAATGTTCTTGTTGTTCAATTCTTTAACTATAAGATAGTCTGGGAAGTCAACTATGACATTATCTTTCATACATAAATGTATATAAAATAAAATGAAATTAAAATAAAGGGAGGGGAGTAGAAGAGGTCTGTTTATTTGACATTTCAGCAAGTGGCAACCATACTCAGGTTACGCATGCAGTAAGCAAGGTTTTGTTGTTAGCCACCTTCCTGGTGCCCACTAGGATTGATCTGCCACGGCAGAGGACATGCCTTCTTCTCTAAGGGGCCCTTCAGATGGAATTACGTTGAAGGTGAAGACACAATATCACTGAGAGTCATCTCCACTGCCACCATAACTAAGCTTCCAGATCTGTGCAAGTGTCTTTATCCTCTTCATCCCACATTCACTGTCACCTCCTATGTCAGGCTGGGGTAGGCATTCTGCTAAGTAATTCATCTGAAAATACAGCACTGCCTTTTAATTATTCTGAACACTGGCTCATCTTACCTGGGAAGATGTTACTATCTTTTTTCAATTGCCAGCAGCTCTCCATGGTCTTGAGAAAGACTCTTTACTGATATCAGACAATTTAAGCACAGATCTGTCATGAACGGAACCAAGGTCGTGCTGCATATCAATCATGTAATCTACTATTGAGCTACTGTAAAGAGCTGCAAACAGAACAGAATATTTGGAAGGAAGCTACAATGGCTGTATTCAGCTATCACAAGCAAATATGCTTCATTACGAAAGGAACAGGCCAAAGCAAGGCACTGTTTATCGCAATGCCTAGGTGCAGCCATCATCCCCTTTCTCCATCTGTGTTTAGTTAATGTAGAAAATGAGGGGACAGAATAGAAAACTAACTAAAATTAAAATTCAGGGTAGCAGTCAAGATTAACAGCGAAGCTGTCATCATTATTGAAGGTATGGTACATTACATTTTATACTACCATATTACTGTACTCAGTATAAGCATTTATTGACAAGGCAATGCCTTTGTAAACAAAGCTAAAATCTTACCATTCCAGTTAGAGGTGCTGGAGTTGTGTCAGTATAGAAATAGGTTGTGCCACCCACCGTTTCCTTCTGAATCACCTGGCCAGTAGCTGGGGGCTGTGAGACAGCATTAGTCACTGGTGTAGAGGCACTAGTAGGCACCATATAATTTGCTGGGTTTGGTGTATGACTTCTTCGTCTAGGAGCAGGAGACGTGTGAGGAGTAATTTTAGGGGAATGAAGGGGAGAAGATCCTGCTGACAGTGACATTCCTTATGAAAATAAAAGAAGAAGAAAACTTACGGGTAAAAGCACATTTGTTCCATAGTGAACTCCAAGGCTTGGCAAACTTAATTTCCTTGCAGATAAAAACAAGACAGTTCAGAACAGTAGAACAAGATACCACAAAGTTTCTCGAGTTACTGAAGAGCTCAGTCTATATATAGAACTTAAACAAAATGATTAACCACAACAGTTACAACTGCAAAGGGATGTTAAAGGTTCCTAAAGGGTAGTAAACAACTAATAGCAAATATTTACAAATATTTGCAAGCATTCAAGGCATATTTCTATCCCAGTGTGATCTGGTAACTTGGTTGTGGCTTGCAAAAAGACCAGGTACGCTGCTAACTATACTATAATTTCCTTTAAGCCAACACCTTTAAAATTACACATGTCGTTTCTGCAAGCCATTACATTTTATGCACACTACACAGTATAATTCCAGGTGCAATATATATTCCAAGTATATATGTAGCTAAGACACCAGAGTTAAACAGTGTTCCAACTAGATTATTCTTTTCAAGAATTTAAAGGGTCAGCATTAAGATCTATATTGCAGAATCTACAAAAATTTTAAACTCCAAATTCTCTTATATAAATTCTACATTTTAAATCAACTGGTCACAAATACTGTACTATAAAAATGAGATACTAGACTAAATCCAGGAAGTAGCAGAATCAATTTATTGCCAAATTACTGTTTTATTCATTCATGAAGTAAATCATATGACAACATAAAACCCATTTTGTAAATTTCGTTATTGTAAAATTGTAATGTTTATTGCAGTATCATTCCAGTACTGATTCTAATATTGAATAATATTGAATAAAAGCATTCTGCAATTTTGGCTTCTCTGTATTGGTGACATATGTGTTAGGTACTCTTAGAGGCTTTTCAGTTCCCTTTGATCCAAAAACTATCCTGTGCCCCTGACAAGCATCTCTACAAACTCAGGCATTGATTGATTTCTTCCACAAAAGAGGGAGCAAGTATACAGGACAAGCCACTATTCGAGACAGATGACATATTTTGGATGAACAATGTCCAGGCTCCATCACAAGGCAAGCAGGACTCAGAAAGAGCTCCACCTATGACCCTGGAGAGCTACTGCCAGAGTAAAAAATCAAATCCAATTGAATTGGATCTGGAAGTTGAGTCATGGCAACTGGACTTCTTTCTTATTAGATTGAAACATTTTGCTACTTATCCAAGCAGCTTCTTCAGTCTGAGGACTGAATAGGCTCATTGGAAGTACAAAGGTCTAGGGGTGAGGGAAAATCCCACTTCTGCATTGAGTGACTTTCCCTCATCCCCAGTCCTTTGTCCTTCCAAAGATCCTATTCAGACTAGGGGGAAGTGAAACCAGCTTGGAGGATATTTCAGGGATCTCCAACCAACTCTCCTCAGGCTGAAGAAGCTACTTGGATGAGTAGCGAAACGTTTCAACCTAAGAAGAAAGAAGTCCAGTTGCCATGACTCAACTTCCAGATAACCTCACCTGGAAGACTGAGAATCTTCACAGATATATTGAACTGGATATGTGACTGGACTTTGTATATGCGGCCAGGATATGTGACTGGACTTTGTATATGCGGCCTCATATATTTAAAAGAATTACAGATGATAAAAGCATCAGTTTTAGTCTTCTTTATCAAGCCATACTGGTTCCACTTCACTAAAAGACTGCAATGTTTCCGTTCTTGATCAATGTTGGAAACATCCTTCAAAATTAGAAACATTGCTGGCTTCTCTGAACTTGAACTTGAAGATAATTTTTCTACCTACTAGAAAGGAGGGCAGCTTTTTTGTAGCATGAAAAATGAAGGTGTCATTTGCATACTATGAATCAGTGCACATCAACTCATGCACTACATACTGCAAAATTTAAACTTTTTGGTCACCCCATTCCCTTCCTCAAAATGGAGACCCGGAAATTTTATGAACTGACCAAGTTATTAAAAAATGGCGTAAGATGTGAATGGCCACAAATACCTGGAAATGAACAGTACAGTGGTGCCTCACATTACGATGTTAATTCGTTCCAGCGAAATCGCTGTAGAACGAAAACATCGTAAAGCGATTTTTAAAAGCCCATAGAAACAGATTAAAACCCAATTAATGTGTCCCTATGGGCTTGAAACTCACCGTCCAGTGAAGATCCTCCATAGCGCGGCCATTTTCGCTGCCTGTGCAGCGAGGAATCCGTCCCAGAAAACAGCGGGCAGCCATTTTTTTTAACCCGGCGGCCATTTTGAAACCGCCGATCAGCTGTGCAAAAATCTTCGCTTTGCGATAATCAGTTAGCGAAGCAGGTAACCAATCATCGCAAAGCAAAAAATACCCATAGGAAACATCATTTTGCGATCGCTTTTGCGATTGCAAAAACTTCGTTATGCGATTTCTTCGTTAAACGAAGTGCTCGTCTTGCGAGGTACCACTGTAGTTGATTCATATCTGCCCATATAAAGAGCTTCCTTTTTAAAACAGGCTTTTAACAATTGAATTGGGCAATAAAGAGTCTTTGATTTTGAAATGTTGCATATTATTATTCTCGCTGTGTTAAGGTTTTTTAAAAATGTAAACTAATAGTTTTAATGTTATTATATATTTAATTTTTACAATATAGTAACTTATTGGCTGAAATCCTGCCGCACAACCTGTGCTAGGTAAGGCTGATGATGTTATCAGTCTTAAACAGCATAAGTTAAACCAACAAGATTTGAGCCACTCTATTTGATAATTTGAGAGCCAATTCACTGTCAGAAATGCAGCATAAAAATGAGATTTAGAAAAATAAGCTGCCAGAGAAACATTAGGCCATGGTCCATAGCTCAGTGATAGAATAAATGCTCTATATGCAGAAGACTACACTTTCACTTCTGTGAAAAGTGTCAAAAAGCAGGTGATGTGACAAGCCTCTGCCAGAGACCATAGAAATCTGTGGCTAGTCCTAGAAGCAAATGCTAGATGAACTAACTGTTAGATTTACATAGCATACACAGAACAATCCACGAAGCTGGCAAATATTATTCTGCTATCCTTCTTTCCAAGGATGCTACTCCAAATAGCCACAGTAATTCGTGGTTCCTCAAGTGTAATGGATGCTTCCTCAATGTTCTCCAAACATACACATTATTTTCTGCATCTTATACATTTAAACGATTGACTTTTTATAGGCAGAAATACCTGCTCTTTCAACTGCATCCCCACTTGCAGTATATCTTTTGAGCATATCTTCCAAATGGGGAGAGAAAATTGTTTCAATTTTTTGTTAAGAACCTACAGATTTAGGTATCTGACTATAGAGCCTGAGGCTGAGAATGCAATTCCCCACTGTACCTCTTTGATAGAGGCTGGATTCAATTATCTATAGGGTCTTTCCAGGTCTGAGGTTCTAAGATTATTATTATTTATCTTTCTGATTGAAAGATTAGTAAACTAATTTAATTCCTTCCTTAATGAGGTAGTCTTGTCAGACTCAAGAGAAGCATGCCCTCAATTTCTTTCTATATTTATTTAATATATAGTTTTCTATATAGTGGTAGGTGGGACTCGTTAGCCTGGGAAGGCAGCCCATTTAGGAGAAGGAAAACTCTGATTCCAAACCTCCACTGCCTTGTGACTATATCCACTGATGGAAAAGGCTTCAGGAGTTAACCTTGAGCCAAAATCCGGAGCTGAAGTCCTGGAGGCAGTTCATGTCGTTCTAGCAACTCCTGTGACGTTGCTAGAACCAGTTGTATTGGCTTCGGCCTTTCCATTGGACTATTTCAGCGATGTGGAGAGGGGGGATTTGCTGCTTGGGTAACAGCCTATCCTCCATATTATTTCACCAAGGCTTCATGCTCTGGAGAGGACACTCCAGCTTCGCATACAGCGTCAAAGTCCTCCATACAGAGCACACTACCATAGTCTCTCGAGACTGAAAGATGCCTATGATGAGTTTTAAAACCTTATTTTTGCCTATTTAAAATAATGCACTTTATGGTAGCTTTAATTATTAAGAAAATAAGAAATTGTCAGCAAAAGCCCCCCCAAAAAAATTACAAGTTGAATACCATGAATATAGTATTTTTTCAAAACGAAGCCATGTATTCCAAATGCAAACATTCCTACCTCTACGAAAGTTTATATGCCAAGACAATGAATTTGGCCATGACAAGCTGCGACAGGACACTTTACCACCATAAAATCTACACCTGAAATCTTACTGTTTCTGCTACATAGGTCCCAAACTAAAGCTATTAAAATGCAAAGTCAATAAAATCCATGAAACCTTATTATATAGTTATTTCTAGTTTTACTAGTGCTACTAAGAGTCATAATCTAATGTAAATAAAATTCATCCAAACTCACCTGGTGCTAACCCAGCATTTGCAGGACCTCCCATGGAAGGATGAGAGAACAAGGCTTGGGAGAAGGCAGACATATTTGACTGTGACATATTACTGAGTCGGGAGGTTGAGCCTCCTTTAGGAATAAACTCACTTGCCGTTGGATTTGGTGCCTGGTTAAAAATGAAAGCAGAGTATGCATTAAGGGAGAAAATATACTTGCCTCCTGAATAAATCAATTGTATTTTAAAAGATACAGACTCGAAGTTATAAAAAACCAATACATAAAAATCCAGAATCCAAAGAACTAAAATTAGTTCCTGGATGTCAATAAAGAATTAAGAATTATTATTCCTTGTAGGAAATCTTTATGCCACACAATAAACTTTTCAAAATTGTTCAAGATTAACAAGTTCCTTGACTGTGGTTAAGCTGCTTACCGGCTATAGGAAACCTGCTGGAAAAAATGTTTCCATGCAACTTTTCCTATCATCTAATTTTGCACACTTGCATTACAGCCAATTCAGCCAAATTTATGAGACAGCTATCAGCTTTATATTTAAGTGTACACTTTACAGAGTATAAAGGCTTAGTGGCAAGGGCGCTCCATATTTGCCCTTACAAAAGAACACTTCTTTTTATATTGTATTTTTCTATCCTATATTTGAATTTTCAGTGACAGCAAAAAAATATCCTGTAACTCATATAGGATAAAGCCTTTGTTTTCACTTTATGTTACATATTTAAGTTTCATTAATGTCATGGAGGTGTGAAATTCTAAATCTAATCTCATTATTATTAGAGAATTCAGGTAGTCCAGCACATACAATAGTATTTCCCTTGGGCTTGTGTCATGGTTAACACACAGATCTGAGCTCCATGAATAACAGACTACAAATGTAACAAGTGCCAAAATATAGCTGGCCTATTAACATATAGCAAATAAGTGGCAGGTTTTTCATTTGCATTTTTTGCTTTGCCTTTGTGTTTTTGGAATAAAGAAGCAAAATTAACAGCCACCACTCAATTATTGTTATATTGTGTTTCCCCGAAAATAAGACGGGGTCTTATATTAATTTTTGCTCCAAAAAAACTCATTAGGGCTTATTGTCAGGAGATGTTTTATTTTACAGTCATGTCATCTTCTGGTTGTTGCACAATGGTGGAGCCCGGGGTTTCACTTAGCTAGGGATTATTTTGGGAGTAGGGTTTATATTACGAGCATCCTAAAAAAATAATTTGTTTAGTCCTTAAGTCGTGTCCGACTCTTTGTGACCCCCATGGACCAGAGCATGCCAGGCCCTCCTGACCTCCACTGCCTCCCGGAGTTTGGCCAAATTAATGTTGGTAGCTTCAATGATACTGTCCAACCATCTTGTCCTCTGTCATCCCCTTCTTCTCTTGCCTTCACACTTTCCCAACAAGCAGGGAGACAATATACAGCCTTGTCGTACTCCTTTCCCAAATTTGAACCAATCAGTTCTAACGGTTGCTTCCTGTTCTACATATAGATTTCTCAGGAGATAAATAAGGTGCTCAGGCACTCCCATTTCTTTAAGAACTTGCCATAGTTTGCTGTGGTCCACACAGTCAAAAGCTTTCGCATAGTCAATGAAGCAGAAGTACAGTGGTGCCTCCCTAGACATTTACCCCGCATGAGTTTTTTCACTAGACATTGACTTTTTGCGATCACTATAGTGATTCGCAAAACAATGATTCCTATGGGGGAATTTCGCTGGACAACGTTTGGTCCCTGCTTCGCAAACCGATTTTCGCTAGACGATGATTTTACAGCTTCCTCCGCACTCGCAAAGCAGGTGTTTTCGGGATCTAAGCTTCACAAGACAATGATTTAAACAGCTGATCGGCGGTTTGCAAAGCGGCTTTCCTATGGCCGATCTTCGCTAGACAATGATGATTCTTCTCCATTGGAACACATTAAACAGGTTTCAATGCATTCCAATGGGGAAATGCTTTTCGCTAGACAATGATTTCGCTAAACAGCAATTTCAGTGGAAC